ATTTTTGATTGCTAGTCGCCTAGACAAGTCTAGGCGACTAGCAAGATACTACCATCAAATTTCCATCAACTCTTTTAGCTATCACATCGTTTCTTTGAAACATTAATCTCGCTGCAAGGATAGAATTGCTAATTGATAACCATTCGACCAATAATAATAGTTATTTCTGTTTTGGCAACTTCTTTGATATGTTTCTTTAAGTTGCTGAAGAAATTCTTGTCTTAGTGAATCGAAAAGATATTGAAATTTTATGTTCTCGGGATCAAATGCTTTAACAGGAGAATTTTCCATCAAGACTAGTTTCCTCGCTTGATTTTTGTAACAAAGTTCACGTCATTTTCAACATCTGTATCAAGAATATATCACCTTGCATTAGGAATGGAAAGGTAAATCTACAATTTTTCGTGTTTATTATATTGGATTTTTCACTAATTATAAGTAGTTCATCATTGACAAAATGATTGCTATACCTTGCAGCATTGATTCTCCCAATTCTTCGATATAGACAGTGGTTGATTGTATCGTACTATTCCATAGAATAATGGTAATATTTGTTATACATTTTCTCTTTTGTGCATATAATTTTTTATATCATCAAGGTTAGAGACTAACCCTCTTCTATCATACAAGAGAATTTCTCCTTGGATCAATACGAAATTTTGATATATATGCATTTGACTCCTAACCATCCATAGGTGTATTGTTAACCATTTGTTGGAAGAAGATTGAATTAATCCAATTACATCCATTTGTTTTCGAACATTTAAATATTTGTAAAATTGTGAGAATGTTGCAATAGCAGATATGATCTGATACTACCGATAGTTCTCAAACTATTACCGATAGTGATAGTTTGAGAAAAGTTTTCGTACATAGTGTTCGTGTACATTTTATAGCTGGTATTCGTATGTGAAAAGATAACTGAAATCCAATTGCAGTTGTTGATAGCTATCACCTGTTTTGATATTAAAGACATTAGTGTTATTAACAATAAAGTCTTCATCGAAAAATTGGACTTATCCTTTGATTCAGCAGATGTTTGCAGCCTTTCGCACTTCTGGTTCGACTGGCGAAAGGTTCTTCTGTCATCTTCCACTTTATCTTCTATGTCTTCGGAAGCATCTATTTCCATAGAATAAAGTATATTTATTAATCGATCAATTTGTTTTCCAATTGGCAGTTGTATTGCTGCACTTCTTCCGTCCCACACCACGAGGTATTTCTGGTTCGTTTAATAATACTATCTCATTCTCATGTGGTATTCTTTTTTCTACCCTTCTAGGAGATACTAATTCCTTTTGGGTACGTTCTCTAAGACTTATAAGGCATTCATCTTTCCACAACTTCCAAAAGACATCTAATATGGTTAGAGTATGAATGTATTTGATCCATTAATATTTATTAGTATAAATGGAGAATTGAATTATGTTATAGACGGTTGATTCAATTCTTCAATCGTTCAACGCATAATCATAATTATTGCTTAATTTTTGTTTGGAGTCTTTCCAAGGTCAACATACTTGATATCTTCCCTACTGCTTGATAATAGTTCGTTTGAAATGCTTTAAAGCTTGATCATCATCGTCAGCTTAAGGTGATTCATGTATACCAATCATTTCTAACTTCAAAAATTTGCTAATTCTGAATTAATATTGGCATTTGCAGATTATATTACCTCCTTAGGATAAAATTGTTCTTACAAAGCATATTAATGTCGCCACTTTCAACAGTCATAGGACCAACTTTTCATTGTAATAATACATGTCCTCATTTTAATTCCTTGATTTCTTGTAGATTAATAAGTTTGACGAAAAAATCAATCCCAATCAATACATCGAGTTTTTCCAATAATCTGCTAAATTTGAAATTTGCAGTTCACTTGATGTCTCCACTAATTGCAGTTAGTTTTTTAAATAATCAACTATATTTGGATGTAATGGTATGAGCACGTTTAGTTGTATACGATCAGCGGGACGCATTTCGGTTCCTTCATACCAAATGGAGCTATCTTCATAATTAATTTTTTTTTTCTAATGTGATTATTTTTTTAGTTTCTGACTTAGTTAATTTTAATTGATGTGATTATTTTTTGGAAATGAAAGATAGTTGTGAGTCTATGTCAAATAATGCCAAGGCATTTTGTTGTCATTGAGGTTGTGATGGATTAAAGACTTTTATCTCCTTACATAAAAGTAAAGTTTCCTTTTTCCTTTTGGATAGAGTTGTGTATGTTGATCGCTCTTCTTTTCTTTGATACAGTATATTGTTCAAAGAAAGTGAATTTCTTTTATCGTATAAAGCACTATTATGTAAGGCTCTGCAATAAAAGCATTTTTTCTTGACTTTACAAATTTCTCCTTTGTGACACACAGTAGATTTCTTTAGTGTCTTAAAAGCGATTCATCGAGTGTTGAGAGTAGTGCAGATTTTGCAATCACTATCCCAATGATGTTGTGCGCAGAATACACATCGTCTTATTTTCTTTGTTGTAGTTTTTAAGAAATTTTGATTACTATTTATTATCGACAATGTTGGAATTCTAGGTTTGTATCGTGCCCAGATTTGGTAATTGTAGGTTTAATATTGGTCTGAGTGAATGAATGTTGACAGTTTCTAATCTGTTCATTCGCATTAACTGAGTTTATTAAAAAGTTTCTTAATTTTAGAACTGACCAATATACTTCTTCTTTTGCTTATATATTTTATTTAATATCCATGATGGTAATTCACTCTCGATCAAAATTTCGATATTTGAATGTTCTAGGCTTTCTCCTAACCTTTAACTGGCGTATCACTCGTTTTATGTTTTCAATAGTTCCACCCATTCTTTTTCATTTCTTTTAATGTATTGGAGTTCATTATATAATAATGTCGTTACCATTGAATGATCGCCATCTTTTTCATTGAGCAGTCGTCTTATAACTTCATAATTCTCCAGTGCTATATCGTATCCAGATATTACTTTTAAGGCTTTCCTTTGAGGCATGAGTACAAATAATTCAATTCTTGAATTTCTGGAATTGCTTGTGAATGGACTGCTGAAACTGTTCCAGAATTGTTGCTATTGTTTAGGGTCTCCATCGAAAGTAGATAGCGACAAATGAGGAAGATTCACATTAAGATTCGAAAAAGAGATGATTTTCACTTCTTCTCTTGCCAGCTCCTTTGAGAGTCGAATTAAATTTTGGTCAGCTTCGTCCTTATACATTATTAGCATTATTATCGCTTCCTTTCCTACATGCAATAATTGGAATATTCTTTGGTTATCTTCTGTAACTCCTTTATATTTTTCTTCTCTTTTTATTGTGACGATTTGTTGAGTGTATGTGAATCATTTATTATAGATTCGAAAATACTGATATTGATAGATTTGAGTGTAGTGACACATAATTGAATTCTTTGGAGTTTATCCTCGAATAATCTTTTTCTTATTATATAGAAATTTTGCTTTCCTTCTAGTGTCATACTCGATTCCAGAGACTTAATCTCCATTAAATTTATTTCTTTAAAAGGATTGACTAACCTTTCTTTTGCCGGTTAGACGGTTGCAATAATGTTGTTAGATATGATTCCCGGCTCATGACATCAATTGTTTCCAAAAGCTAAAGTGAAAAATAATTGGAGAATAAAACTAAGGAACTTCTATCCCAGGATTTCCTGGTTATAAAAGTCTTGAGTTATTAACGTTGGACTCACATTCATTTTCTCGTATTCCAAAAAGCTTTCATTGACATAAAAAGCAAAAATTTGCGCATTGCAAGTTTCGTGGTAGAAGTTATCACTATGAATCTTTTTAACGAGTATGTTTGTTAGGCATTTCCCACAGGTTTCATTTTATTGAGCTAGACTGTTGCTGAAACTTCGGGAAAAATGACGTGATGAGTCAGATTTTATCTTATTACTTACAGATGTTATGCGTCATCTGCTATACTAAGTTTTCAACTTAAAATATGTCACTTTTCTTATCATTACTTTTTTTCTGTTGTTATTTCCTATTATTATTTTTTTCTGTTTTTATAGTATACTGCTTAAATAGAGACTATCAATTTTTTTAAATTCAAAGATCACATTTCAACTTTTTTAAATAGTTAAAATTCTCAGTTACGACATAATTTTTCATTTCTTAAAATCCTCAAAATAAGCAAAAGACCTTCTGCACAGTGTAGTTGGGGTACTAAAGTGGTTTGCACGACAACATAATGTGCAATGTTAAGGGAGACATTCTAACTTCAGTCATAAGTCAATACGAATAATACGAACCTAAAAAATTTTCCAGTTCTCATAGCTTGTTTAACATTGCAGTCCTCTGAGTTTTTTTTTTTTTTTTTTTGCATATTTTCCATGCACTGATGTGCTTCACGTCCATAAAAACAAGAGACATACTTCCCACCGCTTCGTCACCATATTCCGAACTGTCAACTTGAACAAATCTTTTCCATTCTCTTCGACATAAATCTAAAGTTGATATTCCTCTCTCTGACTCAGTAATATTGAAACCGTCATTGTTATTTCGTCAAGATAACTGCTTTGATAATACTAACAAAACTGTTGAAGAATCATCTATGATTGCGTGGTTCAAGTCAGTGCCAAAATTTCTTGCTGAAGAAATAAGAACACTTTGTTATGGGTGGTTTCAACAGTATCACATAATATAAGCTTCCAGTACTCTGTACATATAGGTAATACTGAACAACCACCCTTCACGACCACATTCAAACACTCTATCATCAGACTAGCAATGAGACGAAATTTACATCTTGAAACACATCCATTTGTAAGATGAAATTTACATTCTAAAATTCATTCATACGTAATCTGAATTTCTATCTTGAAATTCGAAAGTTTCTAGCTAGTTCTGAATTAACTGGCTGTGTAATGGTTTACGTGGTAATGGCGTATTGTATGGTTTCTGAGTGTAGAATTCTCTTGTGCAAATAAATCAGTTAAAATTTTCAGGTCTATAACGAGTCAATATGGGAGAGAGTTTTATTCATGCCAAAATGCTTAAGGATGCAGCGGAAGGCGATATTTATGAAAAACAGAATAATGCCGCCTATATGGAAAATATTTATGTATTGGAACGTACCGACCAAATCACAGAATTGCAAACCATCATAATGGACAGGTTGTATCAATAATATCAACAAGTGATCATTTATACCGTTTTCATATTCAGAATATCGGAGAAATAACTCATAAAAGCCGGATCTGAGTTGTGAATTTCCGTACAGATTTTCTTTCGAATTAAATTACTATTCAGGAGGAAAACAAAATTTTTTTATGCAGAAAATTTTAGGGAAACGAGTCATTCAGATTTCGTATTCTATGTCGATCGTTTGATTAGGCTGGTAGTTGAGGAGGGTCTGAACCGACTGCCTTACACAAACATTGAAATAGAAACTCCAGCACGTGTGAAATATAAAGGTATTGCCTTTAGTCGAGGGAATTGTGGTGTTTCGATATGTCGAGGAGGTGAGGCGATGGAACAAGCTTTGCGGCAATGTTGCAGGTTCTAAATAAGTTTTTAATAATTCGAATGTTCATGCGATTATTCAGATTGCTATTGTTTTCTTGTCGAATAATTCAATCTGGATTGGTCTGTGTGAAATTAATCTCATAGTGAGAAAATTTTTCACATGGGATTAGATTTCCTAGGAATGATGTTTGTTTACCAAAAGCCAAAATGTTAGTAGCTTATCCAGGAATGTGAGGGATGGATTAATAACCAGGTTTGGAAGGTTTCGAATAGCCGTGTTAGAAATATAGGTCGGTAATGTATCATTGACGATACAATTGCGATGTTTAAAAATTCAATAAAATAACCAAATCTCAACTTATAAAAATACACTTTTCTGATTTTATACACTTTTATGCACTTTTTCAGCATCTCTGAAGAGTAAAGAAAAAAAAAAAATTAATAGCAGAGAGCGAAAGCACGCCATTCCAAACATAGTTTTTTCTGCTAATATTTCTCATGTTATAGTAATTCCATATCAGTTTTGTCTCAGATCGGTTCGGATTGGTAAGATGTTGGTAGGTGACGACACAAGATTGTTATATGCTCGATTGATGCCAGATATCAAGCATCGAAGAGTACTACTTCTGTATCCATTACTCAGTTAGTTGTATGAACATCTTGTTATTTCAGATGCATCGAACACGAACTCATTCACATAAGATTGAAACGAAACACCTTCGTATTTTGTAGATTTTCGTGAAAACATAAGTTGTAGATTCTCATATACATCCGATTCAGTTGTTGATCGCTGCATGAACCTAAACTAATTTGAGAAATAACTTTCTTTCGGAGATGGAAGACCAAAATGAAACTTACACAATGGAAACCTTACTTAAAATTTCATCTTTTAAAGCTAAAATCCATGGTATAATACTTCATTCCTGATGTAGAGGCTCATCACTAGTCATCTTCTTTCGATGTTCTCCAGGTCTTTTATTTCAGGCACAGGTGCCACGGTGATCAAGGCAGTGTCAGTATTAGTAGAAAATGGTGTAGTTGAAGGGAACATTTTACTGTTGACTTTATTTGCAACACCTGCCGGTGAGTTTTGCAAATGTTGAAATTCGAAAGCCATGTTTATGATGTAAACGTTTGACTTTAATTCCTTTGAAAGAACTCTCAATGTCAATCTTTCTTGTTTTCTCGTTGAATATCTGAAGAAAACATAACTTCAATTTGCAGGCATTAAGCAAGTCATGAGTCACTTCCCGAAAATATCCATACTCACGAGTGATATCAGCCCATTAATACCGTTCTGGTTTACAACCAAATATTTTGGTACTGATTAAACGAATCTTTACAATTCATTTAAATGCAAAGTGTAAATATGATACGCCCTCTGCGTCTTTCCAAATTCAGAAGTTATCGTGAGCTAGTGTTACCTGCTTCCGAAGTTTCTCAGGAATGAAATGGCAATGTTCAAAGTGTCATTTTCCCCACTATATTTTTTTGTTCTATCTCCTTTATAATAAATTTTAAATGGTTGAAGTATATTTTCTTTGATAATTCATTACTCTTACTTGAATGCACTGCTGTAGTATTATTAGTAGTCACTATCAGTTATTTAAAGTTTGCAATATCTTTTATCCAAAATAAAACTGAATAAAGTGCATAAATATAAGTATTACAAAAGGATAACAAGGAGATGAGTACTAGTATACCGGTTCCCAAAATCACTTATAATTACCCTATAATATAATTGTTTTTTTAAAAATATTTCTCCACATAAAATATATTCAGTAAAAGAAAACCTCCGCGACAAGCACTGATAAAAATGAAGGTAGGAGAGACAGGCGAGAGGGTTTAATACTAACTGAAATGATGTATTTTTGAAAGAGCGAAGAGGTAGGCTGAAAGACTAATTTAATCCTTCAATAAGTTGAAAGACGTACGTCGGCCATTTCAAGAAACGGTCTTCCGCCAAAAGAACAATTCTAAAGAGTACTGGAATTTATCACGTTATGTTTAATTTTGACGAAGTTGAGAGATCAATGAGAAGAAGAGATCAAACTTACTGTCTCCTCTTGAAAGACTTATGATGCTCGAAATTTATGGATGGGCTGCTTACTTTTTTACCTTTTCTCATTCTGATGAATTGATTTATAACTTGTAAATTGTAGATCAGAAAACAGCCAAAATAGTCAGCAATGTAAGAAAGATTTCAAGAAAACAAATTATCTAAATTCACCACACTATGGCCAGTGTCATTCAACCTGATCTTCGTCTTCGAAATCTTCATCTTCCAGCTCTACTTCATCATCCTTATCTTCTTCTGTCTCTTCTTCATTATTCACCTCATCCTCTACATTACTACCTATTGTCTTATCATTTCTTGAAACTTTCTGGGGATCATCTTCATTACTTGAACTGCCTAAACCACTTGATACATCTCCTTTATCATTCTCCGACTGCTCATCAACCTGTCCCTCCTCATCCCCTTCTTGCTCATCCTCTTCATCTTCATCATTATTAGCGTCGTATTTCTCAGACATTTCACCTTCGCTCGTACCCTCTTCTTCATCTTCCTCATCTTCCCCTTCATCATCGTCCACATCCTCCTAAAATCAATTTTTTATTTTGCAAATAATGGGAAAACCGAATCGATAGCACTACTACAAGCAAAAATATCTTCCTTGCAACAGTAAAATATTATGCAACTGGAACGTGGCTCTCATTCAAAGAAAAGTTTTTTGTTTAAATGAAGCAAATTTTCTTAACCCATTGCGACTGAAATGCACTGGAAACCTAATCTAATTCAACTTATTGCAAGCATAAAACTCTTTCGTTTGGCTGAAAAAGTTCGCAACCTACGACATTCTCCCCTTGTTTCCGGTCTATTTGGCAATTGCATTTACTGAATCTTCAATCCGGCAGTCTCAAATCGTCTCTCAACCACTGATTATTAAAATAAATGCAGTGAACGCTCAACTGCATATGAGAAAAAAGAAATCTGAATTTCGAATTTTTTGAAGCATGTCATGAAGCGTCCGGAATAAAAAAAAAAAACTAATATAAGCGGAAGTTTGGTGGCATGCTTGGTATTTTGAAACAAGGGAAGGTCACTTTCACAAAATTTCATGCCTGAAACAAAGCGGCCCTGATTTGCTTCAAGCTCTTATATTTCTATGTGCTGCGGAATAGTCATGAAAGCGGATATTGTTACGTGAGGTGCACAGGACAGAGACAAAGGGTAATTATACTTACCTTATAAATGATTCACTTTTTTTGCTAAAAAAATATTTCACAATTTTAAATCTTTTGACTATTACAAATACCTTGTTCTATCATAAAATATCACTCATATTTCAAATGATGATATAAAGCCTTTTCGTCCCTTTTTTACACTTCTCTAATTTTCACCTCATCATTTTGCATGAAATATGAAAAATAACTAACTGATATAACATGTTATGCACAACAGATTTCGAAACTGCACAACTTTAGTTTTTTTTTTTTTCATTATTTTGGCTTACTGAGTAAAACTGTGAGAAAGAAAAAAGATGCAGAGATAGATAGCAATACCCTTTTATATCAATATCACTTTTTATATCAAAACTTCGAAAAAAAGTTTTGAAAATCAAGAAAAGTTTTAATTGTTTAGCAGTAGAACTTACCGCTGATGAAGGTATCAAACGAAGAAATTCTGGTAACTGATTATCTTCGACTGCTTCTTCAAAATCCATATAATTCTGCAAATTTTAATAGCTGGATCAGCACAAATAAATTTCTCTCAATGAAAGATGTCACTTGCTAGCAATGAGTAATTTTACTTCATAATAGGGTTATGCTGTATCAATCACTAAGATACTGTCCAAGCAATATCTTCTTGCTCAATTGTTCTCTTTTTCATCCTCTTTTCCTTTTCCTTTTAGTACATCTCTAAATTCTTTAATGTTAAGACTTACTCCCAAATATTCGTCATCAGCGAAAAACTGAGGCGGCAAAGGAACTCCATCGCAGCGCTCATTTAGAGCGTTTTGGCGCATGAAATCTCGATATTGTTCGTTACCCCGTAATGTTATATCAATCGCTTTAAAAGGAACACCTAATCCATCAAGTACCATTAAAACTTTCTGCACCTGTTTGCGCACCTGAAAATGTTTGAGCAAGTCAGTTCTCATCTTAATCACATTGTAACTTCGAGATTAATGTCGCTTATAATAAATTTAATAATTAATATCACTTAAGCATTGAAAAAACCAATCTGGAGAAATTTGTTAAACCACACCTACTGATAAAATTTAAAACAGATAGGGAAGTTTGGATCCAAACAACCTGTAACATGAAACCTAACCTACTTCAAGCATGACTCATCTCATTTATTTTATGCTAAGAAATTGTAAAGAGTGGAAGTAGTCCTTTTTATTAATTTTTTTATCTAATCTCTGTTCAACGTCTCATTAAGAATCATCTAGCAATTACTGTCACAACAGTTTATTTAACAATTATTTAACATCCTTCATGTTATATTATCCAATACTTTCCTTGATTTCATACCAATTTATGTCTAACAATTTTTATGTTCTCATTGTTCTATCCAAGCATTTGCGAAAAAAGTGGAATGAAAGAAATTTCTTCCTCTCTGTGACTATGACAAAAACATTGAAACTATATTTTAGATGACGAGAACTGTCACACTTTCTTAAATTTAGGACAGCAATAACGATAATTTCTAAAAAAGATTAGAAACACTTGTTAATAGCCCAGCAAATGCCATGTAATATAATAAGACATTTTTTTTTAAAAAATGAAACTTCACATAGAAACAGAATTTGCAGATGACTTGAAGATCTCACATTGTTATTGCTCCTTCATTAATATTGTTCAAAAAATATTCGAAAAACCGGTAGGTTGTAACTAATAAATTATTCGCATTTTTTTCTCTTATTCAAAAAACTTCGTTCTCTTCGCTATACGAATGTCAGAACGAAACAAAAGCACTATAAAGGCTAGAAAAGCTGCTCAACAACTTAATCAACAAAAGTGCAGAAGAAGAGGAACTAGAAACATTAACTGAAAAAATCATATCATTGGTGACGAGAAGAATAATGCAATCTGTTTTAAATGAATGAATTTACAAGAAATTATTTTGATTTGGATCAAAACTAGTTTGAAATATTGCGACATTATCTTTGCAATATTATTGGTAATAAATGATGCAATTTGGACGGAATCTTTGAACTGACTGTACATTAGGCAGTTTGAAATTAACAATTTTTACATGTTCATTCTATGGAGAATAAAATCTGAGAAACTAGATTGAATTCGAAATTTTGATCAGCTAAAATGCTTGAAGGAAATTTGTGTCTTTAGTAATTTCGATAATTGTCATAATTCATTTTCAAATAGCATATCCATAATTGAATTTCAAAACTGTAAATTCCCAAAAAAAAAAAAAAAACTCTCGGATTTCAAGTGGTGTTCCAAAATAAACATATAGTCTAAAACCAGTTTTTAGCTATGATCAGTTAAAGTTCATTATAAATTCTCTCACCATCAAATTCAAGAAGTTGCTCGAGGAACTCATTTTTTCAGCTGATCATTCCATACTTCGTCAGAGAAAGTATGTTTTTGAAGATTAACACTGTGAAGTGTTAATCTTCAAAAAAAAAATTAACACCGTAAAAATCCGATATTTCTTCTTCTAGTAAAAACAATTTTTTGTAAATTTATCTTAGTGAAGCAATGTAATTTGATTGAAATATTAGAAATAAGTCAGCAAAATCAAATTTTAGTAAGTTTCCCAAACTACAGAATACTTTCCAACCGCATCCATCACCTCGCAGCAATAATTTTTACTTTGCATGACTTCTTCTTATCAGATAATTTTATCTTTTCAAAACAATTACGCTGAATCCAGGCTTCTTGAAGAAAAGAAAGAAGAGAAGGAATATCCAATTCTAACTCGTACCTATCACCTAACCCAATTTTTTATGAGAAAATTTGAATTAAAATGCAACGTAATATGATGGATAAATACATTGGAAATACTTCAATCATTAGTTTTCAGAATTTATCATTCTTGTCACCAAAATATTGAATAATTCCTTTATATTAAGTGCTCAAAATGATCGAATAAATTTCATTTTATTATCTATAAATAATAACCTTTTATATGTTAACTCAAATTGAAATAAAAATAAGATCAAATTGCTAAATAAATCGGACTAAAATTCTCCTCTTCGTGTATTTAACTTTTTCATAGCATATAATAAAAACTCTCCTCACCATTATGATAGATCCTTCCACCATTGCGATTACTTACAACTTCAACGAATATATCCTTGATTTTGACAAAGACACAAGAATTTATCTCATAGATTATCGTCATATTTCGACTAAAAATTCTAATTTGGTCAAAAAACAGTCACACTTTATTTTGCCTAATTTTTATGGAACTTCCAGAAAAAAATGCAAAAATTTGACAAAGATAACGGAACGAAACAAAGCGAAACTCTGAGATTATATTTAGGAAAAAGTGCAGCAGTCCCATAATGGGGAAGTAATGTTTACTTTCTTGTTGTTCGATCACGGTTATTTTTCATTAGACAAAATTGAAGAGATTTATAAAGAATATAAAATTACAGATCTGTAGTACATGATAACAGTACTCGACATTTTCAAGCACACACATAAGGATTCAAGCATTGTCTTCTAAGTTTTTACGTAAGCATTTTAGTTAGCTAATAAAACTAGCATTATATAAAAATTTAAACTGGTTCATCTACAACATGAAATAAAAAAATCACCCTAACAAAATTGCATATGAATGTATTTATAATTAAGCGCTGAAATGACAATTATTAATACTGAATGCCTAAATTTCACGAATTCATTCACTAAATTAAGATCCACAACTCTAACTTGTAAATTTAAGCTCTCAAAAGATTTTCTTAATCTTTTGCCTTGTTCATATAAGAAACATTTTTTTTTGATTAACCAATACATGCTTTTTCAAAAAATTCTGTAGTTAAAAAAATAAATAATAGAAATCACAATTTAGTTATAAGTGATCAAAGATGATTGTTCGTTTATATAGGTCACTTCGATAAAACAGAAAATTTCAATCCTGACAAACTAATCCCTAAAAACTTAGAAGATAAGATCTCATGAGCAACTAGAAAATCTTACTTGTTATTAATTAAGGCTGAATAGGCAGGACATGAGAATTGCACCACTGCCTTGAAATCTTTGTTGGAATTTTGAATAAACATAAATACTCTGTCTATCTAGATGGTGGGGAAATTATTCATAGCTTTACAGTATTAAATTATAATGACAGTTTAATTTTAAAATTTGTGAATCCATAATACCTGGAATTTTTTCATTATCTATTAGAAAATATTACGTGGAACGCGTTTTTTGAGTAACGATCAGTTCAAGATCTTTTCAGTGTTAGTTATTGCATTTGAGCTCATTTCATAGTAGTACCAAACAAAATTAAAATATCTGAGCTAGTACCTTTCTGAGGTATGACCAGTGAACTTCGGTACCATCGCAGAGACCTCTCAAAAAAAAAAAAAAGAAGCTTACCTCGGTATTAGCCGTGATAGAAGCGATGTAAACGTTAAGCGTCATGCCGAGAACATCGAGGATATTGAGATTTTGTGTCCAGTTAGAGAATGATGACAGATGGATGGGTCCTTGCAAAAACTCTTCTAGGCGATGCCTATCTTCTTTCCCGCTAGCAATTTTACTTGTCCACAAGCTGAATGAGAGTGTCTGTTATAGTTTCTTCTGAAGCTTCTCTCAGAAAGTGTCGAGACAAACAGACGAACTTATTTATAATAGAAAATTCACTAATAAACGGACATAGACACACTCATAAATCAAGAAACGTACGGACGGACTGGCAAAAAGGCATAGATAAAATGAGAAACATGCGGACAGACATGAATTAATGGGAGAAATTTAAAGTCGTATAAACTCTGAATGACACTTTTGTTTGTATAACAAAACGATGGAATAATGCGAACAAGCGGTACTCTCATCGCACACAAATTCAACTACAACTGAAAAACTTTTATTCCTCTTCGCATGTATGTATGTATGTGCGTGTGTGTATGTATGTATAAACGTGAGTGTATGCATCTATATGTACACTGATTATTGAATAACTTAGTCTCAGTAAGCTCCTCCACAAACTACTAAGTAAGCATCACACCTAACGATACTGTACAGAATTGAAAATCTTGAAGTGATACCAGACAGGACTCTGACTCTACAGACCGACATGCGTCCCACGATGATGGATGATGGGCCATCGTCCATCCCTACCTCTATTTTGCCCTCATATGGACAGTTTTGTATCAACCGCATTTCTTCCCTATCCTCACATTTCATTTCATTAACCTGAATTAACATAATAGTTGAACTCTTTCAGTTTCAGACAGAAATAGACTGATAAAAACGATTCAAGAAATCCAGGACAAATAAGAAAATTTACTAAGTATGCTGTTTTTTTTGTTATATTTGTGCACAGTGGCTAAACATGCGGAACAATATTATCACCAGTAATTCATTTGCAGCAATAACAGCTTTCTCCCTATAAAATGTTTGCTCAGATTACTTCAGCATATGTTATCAAAAATCAGTATATTTTTTTATCACATCCTCACTTCAATCTGAGTTAATATGATCTTCATTCAGCACAAAGGATAAGATTTAAAAATATTGCTCGGAAACAGGAAATGAATTTGACAATGTGTTCCAAACTCAAATGGTTCCCACTTAAAATTATTTCAAGATAATCCTATATTTTTTTTGGATAGCTATTTTTGAAATGCACAGCAATTAATAACACTCCCACCAAAAAATCGGAAATATTTCTAATAATATTCTGCATAACGTTCAACTTTTGAACCTTACTTTCTTACTTTTATCAATACAGGCATAACTATCATCAGTTATCATAGTGATCATAATAACAAACACCATTATTTGTGAATAGTAATTCATCCAGCAAACAACAACAATAACTATAAATAAATTGCAAAAACCATTCGCACAAAACATATTTTTGAAGATGAGTAGCTCTACAGTTGTTGTTGATAAGTAAAAGCATAAAAAGAATAGCGCCCCACTAACAGTTCTAACCGATGTGAATGGTAAAGTGAAAATAATTGTATAAAAAGACATTATATTACTACAAATCATAGCATCAGCTACCATTTATTTCCTTTCGTAAATATGCCTATTCCATAATACTGTCGGTACTTAGCTTTATTTATAACTATTCCACGTTCAAAAGCTCACAAATTAAATATTACAAATCACCAGCATTCAACGAATCAGCTGATTGGATTGCTCCATAGAACTCTATATCGACTGAATCCGGAATTCTCCTTTATCAAATTATCATGCTGCCAAAACGGCATATATCTCTTATGCTCAACGTAGTCAATGTCAGGGTATTTAGGTTGTTCCGGACTTTTATCTGCCTTCCGCATTTGCAAACGCTTTTTCAATAAATCCGCATGGATCTCCTTTGGATTTCGAAACTGATCCAAATATCTGTAATCCAAAATATTCATGCTTACAAATAGAAACTTCCAAGTTAAAGAAATAGTAAGTTAATCTATGTAAAACATACAAATTAAATGGCTGCGGCTTTAGCGGGAATTCTTTCTGATCCATTTTCACTGGAGGATAATATTGGTATTCATAAATTGGCGACTTCATCCCTAAAAGATATTGGCAGAATACAATCACCTGACATAACCTATCCTTTCCGTAGGGCAGTACTTACCGGTAAGTATACGTATGAAACGCGAAGTTGCAAACTACATTACCAGTCACTTAGCGATGATCGCGAGGGGATGCAAAAAATTGAAAATCAGGACAGGAACACCACTAAATAATGTTTGACAATAAATATCAGTGATTGCAAATTCTAAATTATAGAAGTATTCCTAAACGTCGCAAAGAAAGTTTGAAACTGTAATAAACCAATTCTGTGAAGCGCTTCGTTAACAGAAGCATCCCATGAAGCTTGAGCAAATGAAAGACTGGAAGGGGTCCACTGTTTCTCGAATTCTTTATAGAGCTGACCAACATTGAAAATTCGATCTATCAGTGCTGGACTAAAAGTCAAAACAAAAAACAAACTATCGCAATAACATCCAAAAGTCAATATTACCAAACTAAAATTATGCTTATCTTATTATTTTATTCACTTTGTTACTGCAAGTCTTGCTTCAACTTAGTTATGATTGACTATAGAAAGTTCGTTTTCTTATTATTAAAATAATATGTGGTTGCTGGAAATTTTTTAAATCTACTACCTGCTTGGTTTTCTCGAAGTTAAATTAATAATTTCATTATGTCGCAATAACAAACAAGCAATTCTGTGATAACCAGTTCCTCTGAATGGCACCACTTGAAAATATGGAACTATTTCTGTTCCATCACCTACAGATTTGCCATCTGGAATATTAGCTACCAACCAGTGGACAATTTCGCCACCACAACTATATGGGTTTCCATCAAGATTCAATAATACGAATGAACTGAATCCGCCATTTAATGATTGAATCCATATATCTGGTTTATTACCTAAATAATAATAATGAAACATGAAGCACAAAACAGAAATAGACCAATCGACTGCACAAACTTATATTAAATACGAATTAAAGCTTAAAAATTTAGTTTCAACATTTCCAGATAATCAAAAAGTTTATATCGGTTAAATTATCCAAAACAGTATTTATGAACATTTATTCAATTTTGAAATATAGGTAAGCACTTGTATCAGCGGCATCGATCAAATTTCCTTGATATAGACCAGTACTACCCCATTTAAGCTGCATATTTTGCGTATTGTGGAAAAAGACGTTTGTGTGAAAAATATCATCAAATATGCGATAGTGATGAAAAATACTCAACTGCCAATGCTCAACCTTCTTTAAATTTATTGTTACTGCAATGAAAAGAATTATTACTGATGAATTAATTATGCTCAGTTATTAATTATAAATAGTAACTTCAGTAAACAATCAACTGCCGATGATTTAGTATGGATTTCTGTGCTACATCCATCATTTCTAATATAAAAAAATTGTGCAACGTCAATTTTACCAATCTCATGAAAAATACTCAAACTAAAAGAAAAAAATCATGAAAACACGGAATGTCTGTCAAAATTGCCCGAAAAAGAACATGAGAAATTAGTTTTTTATTTTCTACAACATTGAAAACACAAAAGTGGGACTTACAATGCATTTTCCTGGATAACTTTGGAACATTTTTCGACTCCGATGGTTGCAGTGATATTGGTAACACACTCTTTTTGAAACCAATATCGTATCTTTCTGTTTCTGGTACTGTAACAACAAAGTTATTAGAATTCTGACACTAATACAATTCAAATTCCAAGTTTTTTCAGAGAAGTTTTATCTTTATCAAAGAGATGTTCAAAAAAAAGAAAGGACCTTAGTCGAACTCCAAAAACTAGACGAACAAAAAAAAGGAAATAACCTGCTAAACGTTCTTTCAGCGATAATAAATGATTATCTACATCAATGACATGCATTTTCGGATAAAGTACTGGCTTTGTTATTCGTGCTTTATACCAAGCATTCGGTTCATAAAATCTAAAAGGAAAATTTTGAGAAATATCACCCACATATCTCATAGAATAACTGAATAATCAATTCATATCCTTAATTTTCGTATAGTGAAAAACTCAGATGTACATGTAATAAGATAAATCCCACAGAATAAAATAAAACAACTTTCATCGGCGAAAAGCTTTCACATTCTCCGAGAGATTGCATCTTGATCCATCTGTCGGAAGATTCCGCAACATATGACAGTTTCGCGGAACAAATTTCTGTCTAATTAAAAAGTCAAAATTCGTAGATATAAGTTGTTCTAAAATACAAACCTATTACGATAAAATGCAGCCGGACCAGCCCACGCAATAACTTTAGGTCTCCATGGTCGAGCAACACGCGGTGTACCCCTAATGCGATGAGCATCTTTCACATAAATGTCTGCATAAACAGAACGGAATGCTCGCTTCATTGAACTAGAATTCTATACGTCCCTAAAAAAAAATCTTTTTAGCCTAATGAACTCCAAAAATCCAAGTAATCCCTCCACTTCACATGCAATCTCGAAACATAGTAAACAGACACTAGTTCAGTCTATGGCCGCATTAAATTCGTCCGTCCTCCTCACAGCACTCATTTCGAGTGTCGTACAATTAGAGAGTTCTTTTGTGGCTAGTTTGTTTGCATATAAGCTGACTTCAGGTTTGCGGAAGAGTTCAGCACTGGGATGCAAGAGTTGAAGTCATTTGATAACATAGAGTTATGGCAAGGAGCTTTTGGAGAAACGTTGTCTTTTTGCTTGCAGATATATTTTATGTTCGTATGGCTATCTATTATTCATTTTGTGCGTTGAAGTTCAAGTGTTATTCCGGTCGCCTTGATATTACGGCGTGGTTCAGATTGCTGTCGAACATTAGGTAATATTTGTCGGATTGTTTGACGCTTTATTTATAGTCGTTGTCCAAAAGTGATTATAACAGATAAACTTTGCAGGCAGTCATTTGTCACACTTTTATGCAAGTAATGTCAAAGTGCCCTATTATGGATAAAGTAAGCGATGTACAGCGATTTGGCGGACATCGAAAGAGATGAAGAATTGGCGAGAAACGCTGAATGATAGAGAAGCTGTTAAGTGTCTGATTAATGGACCTGGAAGCAGTAATATGCGCCAGGATAAAAACTGTAGCATACGATCGTTATGCATGCATGATATGGATACTGTGAAAACAATTTGCCTCGAATCTTTTCCCATACAGTATCCGGACTGCTGGTTTGAAGAAGTGCTAAATGGTAAATTGATTAGTTTTGGAATCACCTATGAAGGTGCACTTGCTGCTATTCTTGTCGCTGAGCTCAAAATCTTGTCTCAGTGCAATGCTGAGGTTCCTTTTTTTTTTACTCTCTCTTTACAAATTTGATGAATGTATACATTATACTCGCATGGCCGGATGAAGTAGAAAATATTCGAGAAAACTTTAAACCAGCAAGAAACGTTTATAAGGACAGGTCTTCAGAATGTAGCGTCAGAGAATCCAATAGTATGGAATGTGTGAGTGGATAACAAGTAATTTAAGTATTTTTAGGACCGTGATCTTTTATCGGGTAACTGTTTACCAGTGGTGTATATATTAAGCGTAGCTGTACGCCCACCTTATCGCCGACGTGGTTTCGCTTCACGTCTGCTTGATCATCTTATGTTTATGGTAGTGCAGCGGCCACCATATCCAAAAGCTGTTTATTTACATGTATTAGCAACAAATTATGGTGCCATAAATTTCTACAAAAAACGTGGTTTTTGTCATCACACTACACTCTTGTAAGTTTCGTTTTTTTTCTCATTTTATAAAACAGTGATCCAATAATCTTATTAGTAAATTAAAAGATAACTGACAAGTTTTTTATTAACTGCTATAGACATTATTTATAAAGCATTATGTACTTACGATTACATAAACATGATGGTTTGCACCACAAACTTTTCTATTTTTTAAAGGCTGCCAATATCTCAGGATAATTCGATTACTCAAATAATCTTGTTATATAGTACTTGATGTGATTGTACACTTAACGCATTTTTTAAGAGGAAGGAGTAATGATTTAGTCATATTCATCTTATTTGTACAGTCACTATTTTTAAAAACAATATTACTGGTACTGAACTCTACTGACTCAATTTGGCTCTCTCAGCAATTATACGGTAATGTAATCTACATCATTGCTTTTCTGATATCAGAATTTCTAATCAGTCGCTACAACGCTTACGCGTGTGTGATTAGAGTCAAACTGTGTTTCCATTAGCCTTACGAGAAAACTTCATGAGGTCGTCCATCAATTCATTTCATTTAATCCTACGATTAGCTAAACGCGGTCATTTTCAGATTGTTTACATGCCGATTAGGATGTGATGATTTTGTTTGTAATATCGGAAAAAAGTAATAGCTGGGAATTCATTACAGGAACTACTACCGCATTAATGATACATTCGGTGATGGCCTAACATTTGTGCTTTATGCCAATGGCGCATGCGCACCATGGTCCGTTTATGAACTCTGTTCATTATTTTCTACAGTTCTTTGCTTCCCACTAAGGATTATTCTCAAAATGAAGTACATCTTGCGTCTGTAACAAAAAATTATTGCGTAACAAATCTTAATTTACGCATTTGTAGTTTGTGGACATATTACTGTCTATATAAAATTTATGGCTTTTAAGAGAATTGATCATTTGTTTAGAAATTTTAGAAATTTTCATTTGTCATGATTTTTGGAAAAAATGCTAAAATAGCTTTGCCTGCTAAAATTTTGTAAATACCCTACTTATTTTTTCCTTATTATAAAATTTACATGAAATAATTTATAACAATTATACATTTACAATTAGATACATTCACTGATTCTGGTCTTTGCATCATTATTCTTTGTTCTTCACCAAAGTTGCTTTACACAAAACAAAACAAAATACCATACCAATTCTGATGATGTAGGTAGACAAATGTTTTAGGCAAATGTTTACATGTTCCATTCGAAGTTGTCGAATTTGCTTGCAGTGCAACATTTATTTTTCACATAATTGTGTATTTATGTAATTTATCTAGTTGTTAAAAGGGTTCAAAATTTAGCGAAATTTGAGCATGTCGATACTCCAGGTTGAAATTTTTCTTTTTATATGTATGGTGTTATATGTCTGCTGATGGTGACGAGGACTGCATAATTAACAGGTTCACACATTCGCCTTCGAGAATAGTGAACTAAGTGTCGCATCATGTTTGATGTATTCATCATTTGAAGTTTCATTGGCGTGTTATGAATTCACGAATTTTTTGAATTATTTTAAAATGTACTGAATGTGAAGAGTTATTTACTAGAGGTTTATCCTTTATAAAATTTGCTCGTGTTCGTTATTCTTATATGTTTTTGAAGGTTGTGTTGAGGAATTGAGGATGCACATTTTTCTTTCTTTTTCTCAAATTCAAAGAAGAAAGATGATATTTTAAGCTTCTTTTCTTTATCATCAACAAACATTAAGAAATGGAATCTTTCTTAATTTTGTCAAATTATTTCACGTAAACTTATTCAACTTAAAAAAAGTATCTTGATTTTTAAATTCGGAAAATTCGAGCATTTGCTTAGGGTAGGTCGTGGTGATATTATTAAATTCATTGTATGGAAGATGGCCATGACGCTTTTAATACATTGCTTCATTCTGATTACTTAGCTTTAGGATTTTAGTACTGTGGTATAGTACTTGTTTCCCAAGCGTACTTCATTTTCAACGTTTTTCCGTTTATATTTAAGTGAGTGTGAAGTAAATGGTCTTAAGGAAAAGATTTTATTTGGAAATTGATTTAACAATGTCATTCACTTTTCAGTAAACTATTTGACGGTATTCAAATCAAAACTCTTTCTTTACTGTGTTCCGTGTTGGCAGTAGGCACGGTGGTGAGTTTTTAATTGTTGGTAAATAGAATAAAAAATATGTTTGAGCGCGAAGTACTTGCAAACTGAAATAACAAAAGTAAATGGTCTTAAGGAAAAGATTTTATTTGGAAATTGATTTAACAATGTCATTCACTTTTCAGTAAACTATTTGACGGTATTCAAATCAAAACTCTTTCTTTTTTTATTCTAAGGTCTTTTGAGGAGTAAGCTCACCTGAAATAACAAAAGTAAGGTAGGTGTTCTTCGAACGAATAACTAGTAACTACTGGCATACATTGCAAAAAAACAAGGTCTTTTGAGGAGTAAGCTCACCTCAATTCGCGATTTATAGGACTGCTCTTTTGAGAGAAATTATATCGGTTCTAAAGATCTAGCAGATACTGCTGATCAGGCGCATGAACAGCACTTCCTAGATAGAAGCGGTGATAACAGTATTGATGTTACTTATTATTGGTCAAGTCTGATTATGACAGTTTTAGCAGTCCACCATGATGATGTATTCTTTGTGTATTTTAGTAGGACATTTTGATTTCTTGTTCCTTATGGTATCGGATTCAAAATGATGACAATTTCATTTGGTTATCTTTATTCATTTCTAATAACGGCAGATATCTCGAATTTATTTTCTATCAACATCGTCTTTGTGACTGCTATTATTGTCAATCCTACTGTCGTTGTTTTCTTTCTGCTTTTGTGGTCTTCAGAAAAGTTTGGGGTGCGAGTTCCTTATTTTTTCTCATGGATGTGTTCCGTCCCGCATCCACTTATTCCATTCTTCAATTTATTTTACAGATTTCCTTTCTGTATTACAATGCATTTTGCAGTTTCCTGCTTCGAAGATTATTTATGTGTATCTACATATAATTGTATGTTAACTAGCATATATATAGCTCGTCAGCAAGAAGTCGGATGGTATAAATGTAGTAATAAAATCGTCCTCTTGCATGTAGGACTGAGTTAGGTTTCGAAAGATAGTACTTGTGCAAATGGCACTGTATAGGAAGGAAATGTGTAGAATAAATTGAAGAATGGAATAAGTGTATACGGGACGGATCACATTCATGAAAAAAGTAAGAAACTCGCACTCCAAACTTAATTGTGTGTGATAATTGTGTTGTTGATAAAATGGTTGAAACGATGAAGTTGAAAGCAAATGATGATATTATTATAATAACTAAATAGTGATCATTTAACAGGCACTTGATCTCATGGTTCATTGCTGTTTTTTTTTTTTTTTTTTTAATTTCCAGTCAGTAGTTAAGCATAGCTCTACTAAATATGCATTTCCCGCTGTGTAAAGAACTAATTATTTGCAAATAAAATCTGTCAGTTGTTGCGTGTTTTAAAAGAGTATTGATTTGTTCCGGATACATATATTTCACCAATGCCTTACTCAGGTCCGTATTAAATTTTAAAAATGCCTATTGAATTTTAAAAATTTCTAAAATTTAAGTTACAGATATGGACGGAAATATATTTGAACAACCATTGACAGCCGAGTCATTGCAACAAATTTTAACCTTTTTCAAGAAAAATGGTTTAACGGTACATTTTTTTTCTTGTGTGATAATTTGGTGTTGATAAGAGCATTGGAACAAAATTATAATGACGTAGTAATAACTAAGTAGTGGTGATTTGAAAATATTAGAAATGTTGTGCTACAAAGCAGATGTACAAAGTAGCGGCGTCAAAAGAATTGCTAATAGCTTATCCTTATTTGTGCATAACCATAAATTATTTTAAGGAATCCGAAGAAGCATTGTCGAGAGAAGCTGCAACCGTTTTGCGTCTTTCGAAAGATGGTGTCGATGGCGATACTAACAAGTATGTTTTGTTTTTTTCTATTGATCAGATTTTCATTGACCATTAATTAGGATAAAATTCGCCGTTGTTCTGTGAAACTCTAAAAATGCATTTGAACATTATCGAAACACTGCTGACTATCGTATATCGCTTCGGAAAGATCAAGCGAGCTTAGAGCACATTGTTGTTTATCAGCAAACATGTTGTTATACTGCATTAGAACAGTGAACGTTTTTTTTTTTGGTTAAAGTTAACGGATTTTTAGTGACTCTATCATGCGCGAATTTTCGACGCTTCTCAGTCATATTGATTCTTCTTTTGATAATTTCCGAGCAGAACTATCCGCTTTAATATTTCCGGTATTTGCGCATTTATATATACAGCTTATTGCCGAGGGTCGTAGTTTACAAGGTTTGCATCGTCTTACTATTATTTCGCAACTGTACCTTTTTCTTTTCAAATTTCATGTATCTTTTTCTATGTTTATATTTTTATCAAGCTGAAAATCTACAACAGTTTTATTGTTTCAGCGGCTTTATTCGGAGAAAAATTTTCTCGATATGTACCTTCAATGTATGAGGAACAGACAAAATTGCTTACCCGCATTTCTACTCATAGCCAAGCTGTTAATCATGCATTGGTTCAAGCTCTCACGTAATTATAATTTTTCTCAATATAGATAAATGATTATATTTTTTGAAAAATTTTAAAATTTGAAAGTGAAACTTTGCTTCCGGAAGGCAGTAATTTTCTAATTTAACTTGCTCGCTTTCATAAACTTGAACCACTCATCACTCATTTTGAAGGAAGAATCAGTTTGTTGTTCGCATATCAAAATCAGCAATCAAACAGCTGGAACCTTTTTTAACTCGAAATAGTACTGTTCGAGATGTGATGCGAGATCATTTGCATATTGAAGGTAGGTTTTCATTGTTCAACATTCTATGGATTTCAATTTTTCATTAATATTCTGCATTCTCTTTTAGTCCGTTTTAGACATGAGAATCCTGACAGCTATGATATATTTAGACGAAGATGAAAAGGTGGCGTTTTTGCTTCATTTAGCAATTAAAATTTACTTTGTTTAACAATTAAATATTCTACAGTTCTTGAATAAAACGACTTCACTGAAAAAGTGTCTGTTTGGTATTCATTAGTGGGGATAAAGGAATCTGAAGATTTTCCTGAATTTAGAATTATACTGAATATATTTAGCAATTGATGGTTCGCGAACAAAATCTGCTACTGAAGCTAGCCTGGGAGGTATTCTTGGTCAAGTCAGCAAGCAAGGTAGTTTCAAATTACCATCTAAATTTCCATCTGCTTGCAAAAAATTAGAAATTTTAGCATATGGAAACACTCACTTTGTCTTCCTATTTCCAAGAATTCCATTTCACACGAGTAACTTCCTCATTAAGTGACCTACTAGTCATTTTTTTTTCCTTTTTGCTAAAATCTGTTCTTTCACTTTGCAAATATTTTGAACAATTCATTTGATTTGATTTTGATCCATATGAACCAATTAATTTTTAGAAAGACGACACAAAATGTTTTATGGAACAATAAAAGAAGATTTCTCAACACAACTGGGCCTCGAAAAGAAACGACCGAAAATTAAAGAAAGAAATGATAACAAAAAAAAGGACGCAAATGGACCTTCACCTGATCGAATACCTCTGCCAATAGCGTTAATCTTTTTGCTTTTCTTCCTTTTCAAAATATTCTTTTATTGATAAAGTTGGTTTTTGTTAAAACATTTTTTTCTTTTTATATAAGTTTTGGGAATCCAAATCGTTTACAGCAGTGAAAAGAGATATATGAAAGAATCGGGTAAAAAAATGCGCATTTCTGTTGACACACCGCCATCTGTATGCCTTTACACTGTGCTCAACTCTCCTGGTGGTCTTACAGCATCTGATGTTGCTGAAGACAGTGAAGCTTTGGCATTGGGTTTTGGAAATTCCAGAATACAGGTATACTCATATTGATCTTCAGTAAATTTTAACGATAGTTTCTCAATATGTTTCTTTTACAAAATGTTTTCATTCCTGTCTTTATGTAGGCTTATTGCTTCAAATTTGTTTTTCAGTAATTCTTTCAGTTGTAATACAGTTGTTGCAGATGAAAAAATATAGCATGAGCTGACCATTTTAAATTTGTGAAGGAATAGACTTCAAGCAGGAAATGACAGGGTAACCATATGTAGATATATCATTTCTGTGATTAATCTTTTGCAAAATTTTCATCTACGTTATATAGTGTACAGGTTTTCAGTATTATCAAAGAACCTTATATTATTTAAGGTTCATGCATTAAATGAAGAAAAGTTTCGGCCATACAAAAAAATCGACCAGTTGGAATTGATAGAGCAAGAATCTGAAGATGCACTGGATCAGGTTTACGATGACTCAGAAGCATCAACATCGCTTATTTTTCAAGTTAGTTTTATTTTTGGGTCTTTGAACTACATTTTTTAACTTTTAGGGGATATATGATTTGTTGTTAATATATTAGATCCTTCATCCAACTCATGAGGAAATTGAACATGTGAAAGCTACACATCTATATATTATTTCTTTTATATTTTAGTGCATCAGCGTGTCTTCCACAGGCTTCTAACTCTTTCGTTCGTGTTTGCACCTTGTCAAGACTTTGGTTTTCGGATAGCAAATGCACAAATATACTTTCCCCACGTAAATCTTTCTTTTCCAGGGTCATAACGGACCAGTTTACTCGTTATCATTTTCTCCTGATAAACGCCTATTGCTTTCATCCTCACGAGATGGAACAGTTCGTTTATGGAGTCTCGCTGTCCGTAGTAATGTTGTAGTATACAAGCATGCTGCACCAATTTGGGAGGTTGGTTTTTCTTTCATTTTGAAGTCACATTTTTGCAAACTGATGTAAGCAAACTGATGCAAACAAACTGATATACTGATATAAGCTGTGAAAGAATTAGACAAAAATATGTTTCAGGTGCAATTCAGTCCACGTTCCTATTACTTCGCGACTGGTAGTGCCGATGGTGCTGCGATGCTCTGGACAACTGATCGATTGCAACCGTTGCGCATTTTTTCAGATGCATTGTCAGATGTCACCTGCATCGATTTTCATCCAAATTGTAATTATTTCGCAGGTGGTAGTGATGATCGTTATGTGCGTGTTTGGGATGTATTATCTGGGACATGTGTACGATGTTTTGCAGGTCACAAAGGATCTATTCGAGGACTAAAGGTTGGTTCAAAAAAAAAAAAATAACTATTCAAAATTGTTCCTTATTAAAACTTTTGAGTCTTAAAGGTTAGATGAAATTTAGAGGTAAGAGTCTCTTAGAAGTTTCTGAAATAATTTTGTTATATGTAATTACTCACCGAATCAAACAACACCATTAATTTCATAAAGTGTCCGCCAATTTAGACTGTTTAGTTTTAGCTCAGATTTTATAGTTTTTAGAAATACTTTTATCGCTGGAATAGTTTATGTAGCCCATAAACCTTGGCTGTCTTTTAGTCAAATTTATTCGATGTAGATTTATTCAGTAATCTGATGTTGTCGTTATCCTAACTAATACGTTTTGGCAAGTTTCCTCTTCCAGGAAGTCTAAGTGCAGCATTGCACTACTGATGGGAGCATCACTATTGCAAATGATCATCCACTCGTGTTAGCAACTCAATATTCTCCCTACTTTGTTGCAGATTTCGCCCTGTGGTCGATATCTGGCATCATTGGGAAGCGAAGGATCTCTCGTTCTCTGGGATATGGCATTACAAAAAATGGTTTGCATGCAGGATGTCCCTGCACTTCCATACCAGGTACCAGTAGAGTTCTCACGTGATGGAGCAGCACTAACTGTTGCACGAGCCGATTCAGCGTTGTCATTTTATTCTGTGGATACGGTTACAGCTCATTCAGGTTCACAGGATCATTTAAATAATGATCCAAAGTAAGTTAATGTGATTCATAATCCTTTAGATAATCTTTACAGAAATTTGTAGTGAAGTCGAAATTTTATTCATAAAACATATTAAAAAACTGTTATTAGTAAATGAAGCAAGTATTTTCTGTTGACTTACGGAGCAACGGCAGAAATAGTGAAACACAGCATCGACCTTGCTAGGTTTTATTCAAGATCACTCTGCATTTCCTATCGCCACTTTCATTGCAGGATAAATCCCAGCGGATTTCATCTGTATTCATACGCTACCAAAAACACATCGATCGTCGACTTGCATTTCACGCGACGCAATTTAGTTCTAGCTGTGGGCGCTTATAGACAATAAATTATGTCAGTAGTGTTGAAGAACTAGTAAGCATCCATAGGTTTAACTGCAAAAACTTATTTGTTTACATTCCCAACAATTAAATATTTATAAAATGATGTCGTTAGTAATCAGGCAAGAAAAACCGGATGTTTCTACACTTCCAAATAACCTGTAACTTGATCAATGTCGAAATATTGTAAAGGTTTTCTTATCTAATAGTCATTCTTGTAAGGAAATGACAATATCAAAACCCATCTTTTACTATACAAAGAGTAAAGATTATCTGATAGTTTTTTACTCAATGTAATCATGCGCTTGTTATAAGTCAATGTCCACTACATAAGGTTTTAAAATCTTTGTCTTAGTTTTTTGTACGAGCAAGTTATGGTCTGGTTGCTCTCTCGCACTCATTTAATTCGGTTCACCGAAATTTTTTAAGTTCTCCATCAATTTATTCATATATATTAGTCAAGATAAAAAAAGCCTCCTATATACTAGTCAAGATAAAAAAAGTTTCTTTTGAGCATACGAAAGTCCAATTTGACTTTAAGCTACAAGATTCAAACACCCCACGTATCATGACACATCTTTCTCATTCAGTACGACATATGAAACCTCTCAATCACATCATACCCTATGAAAACATTATATCCTACCATTCTAATACGAAAGAAGAATGACTGACTACTCGTCCTACCAAAAACTTCATTTATGGAAAAAACTGACCATGCACAAAACAATTTATTTCATTTCAAAAAATAAAACTACTTTACAAAAAAAACTGGAGTAATAATCGAAAACTTTTAACTATCCACATACTAAAGAAATTTTAGGTCCGGGAGAATATCAAACTTTGATCAACACTTCACTAAATTGGAATTCAAATCAATAACTATAATCTTGTTTGCCGGTCAAGTGCTTTCGCATTTCCCATAATCTATTTCGGCTATCTTGATCACTCAGCAACCAAATAAAAGCAGCAAATACCCCAATACCCGCTCCAACCATTGAAGCGTGTAAACCACGTGCACATCGAAACAGCCCTCCAGTAACTGCACCAGCAGCTAAAAAGAGCACAATTCAAATTTCATTGTAAGCAAGAATATTCATACTAGTGTTACCAACATTTCGCACTTACTGATTAATAAAGTCTTACCAACAGCATTAAGGTCATCTTTCGCACGTAATTTTCCAAAAATCATATCAGCAAGAGAGAATATGAATACGATAGAACCAGCAGGAGGAGCAAAACCACTGCCGTGTTTCATTGAGGAATTCATCAAACGCGTCATAAACGTTTTAAGAGGCTAAAACATGAAATATAAAATTTTGAGCGAATATTTGTAATTCAAAAGATTCTGGAAGATCAACCGTTAAGATGATCTTTCGCACTTTAGTTAAAAAAAAAAAAAAGGAAAAAAGAAAGAGAAAATTAGAGATTATATGGATCAACCCAAAATTCCGAGTGTACCTACTACAAAAAAAAAGCGAAATCAGTCCTCACCAACTGCCTCGTATTACAATTCCGCAATTCTGGCAGAATACCGCGCACACTACCCAATGCATAGCCGCCCAAAACAGCCCATTCCAATCCGTCCCATTGCAAATTCTAATTCTCCTTTCGATTCACCAGGAACAATATACATGAAAATACATCTGTTATAGCACTTAAGTAGCGTTTTGTTAATAAAAGAGTTTCACATCATTTTCTTACAGTTTTTCCACTTAAATGAAAGTTAAGTTTAAGGATTTGATATCGAAATAAAATTATTAGAGAGAAATTTATCGAAATAAAACTGTTGAATCTTTTAGATCTTAACAACTAAAATTCACTTTCGAAAACGAAAATAAATAAATAAAAAGAAAAATGGAAACAAAGCGTATTTAACGTCTTACAACTTACTGAGGAGTAGAATCCTGGAAAACGGTAGGATCCATCTGTAAGTATGGCGATAGCTGTTTCTCAAATGGTACGCCAGCTTGCTTCAACTGATCTAAGCAAATATAGGAGATCTATCTAAACTGATCATATTTGTATTATCTCTACCAGAACCCAAAGCGTCACTTAAGTCAGATACTGCTGAATCAATCACTGCTAAATCAGGCAATGAAGTTGACTGCGTCTCTGAATGCGAAGAGTTAGGCGATGAAGAAAGCGGAGGCTTTGTTGAATTAAACGCCAAACCATTTTGACACTCTGCTATAAATGAAAAAATCAGATTCTTAATCGTTTAGTCTCTTTAGAACCTTTACATCTACATAAACAAAAATAAACTTTGCTAACTAATATCACGAAGGGTTGTACCAATCACGACTATTAAGAACAAAAGTTTTTTAAGATAACATGAACCAACTTCGAAGTCCCTACATCTGTGAGCACTTTGAAGTTAGATCATATTATTGGTATGAAATGAATAATAAAGACTAACAGGGTAATAAAAAGTGATCTCTCCAAATACCTCATCAGTTACGTGAATATGTTGCTTTCTCTTTCTTAACTATGTCAACAATTTATGTTTTCATTTTTTCACAATAACACACTAAATGAAAAGAGACACTCTCCTCCAAATGGATGTATTAGGCATTTCTCCCAATAAAAATACTTCCACCTATCTCTAGAATGTACAAAACAGGCCAAATGCAGAGGCTAAAGATTGTCCTCATTTCATCCCTTACTTTTCCGCCTTCAACAAGTATTTAGTCTTACCGATGTGAAGGATGTATTTATGTGAATACGGATTCGTGTGATAGACTTCCCCAAATCGGAACCTGAAATAAAACTCTTGCAAAACCTGCAAAGAAAACCGGAACCATCCACAAAGCAACGAAGTATTAGCTTCAAGAAATGAGAGTAACCTCGTTCCTGGCATAGCGCCAACTTGGCGAAGCTCATCCCAATTTAAAATTCTCATTTTTTATAGCACGAAACCCACCGAACAGTGCAATTTGTGCAATTTGCCAGCAATCAAATTTTAGATCTCTGTAAGCAAACTTCGGGAGCTCTCCATTTCCTGTTCATGTTTTGTAGTCCTTATTAATTTTTCCATCGAACCAATCCTCAAAAAGTTGAATTTCTGTCAGTGAAAGGTGAACCTTGAAAAAAAAAAAAAAAATTGATTATGAAAGCGTTTGTTGCAAACTGACAGAATATCTTTCTCCCCCATACCCGAGTGAGGTTTTTTCTGAAGCTGCATGTGCTCTACCCTCTCACTGACTTCAACTTCTCCCTAACAAGCCAGAAAAGTAGTTAAAATAGAACGAATGAGATTTAATGACGACAAAACACTCTATAAACAATAGCAGCAGCCACTAACAACCCATCCAGTATAAGAAGACATCAGGAATGGAAAGTGAATAAAGACATTTTCAGCATGTAAAGAAGAGCGAGAAAAATGATTGTTCTTACAATATTTCTAAATAACACGAATTATTTCACATTAATAACGTTACAAGAAACGTAGATATGAACAGAAAAATGAGCATAATGCTGCAGCTTTCTTTCTACCAATTACTGAATCTTGAATTCATCTGTCATCCATGATTAGAATGAGATACAAAATATTCATGTGCTTATATACGTGATACATCGGTTCAACTCCTTTAAACGATAAGAGGCAGATCAATCTAATCCCAAATGCGAGAAAAAAAAAATGAAAACTATGCATGCTGTTTTTATTATCAGTTATCAACAAATTCTGACCTACACCTCACACGTATTATATCTTATAATAAATGCTTTTATGTACAATATTCCGCCATACAAATTCCGCTTTCTTGTAATTTGATCCATTTGTGCTAAAGTATTTACCAACAGCATAGCCTTACCTCATGACAGCAAATTCCTGTGTTGCCATGAAAAGATTCGAATACAACATAAGAATGGAACAAGAAAAAGCGATTAATATCTTGAAAGAGGAAATGGATTCTCAGATTAAATAATGCAGTGGCTTACACACTATTCAAAGTTAAAGTAACAAATCAAAATAACGTAAATTCCACTAGACGAATTAAGAAAAGCACAGACACCGAAAAATTAAAAATATACAGATAACTAATAATGCTCTAGAATTCTCTGGAATCAAGAACCGAATAACTTCTACATTCAAACAAATACAAAACGATGAACTCATCTGAAATTGCTCAAAACATATCAGGAAGAATAAATGCACTGCAAAATTACAACCGCTTTAAATCAGTTAAAGATTCCAATTATTGGCCGAAGTTCTCACATTTTTAAATGTTTCAAAATATAAAAAAAAATAAAACACGTTTATCTCCCATTACGATTATCGCTACAATAACGCCTACCACCATTATTATGAAGCTGTTGTTGCTGTAATCCTCGATTACCATTGCGTTCACAATCTCGATTACGTCCACGTGGATCCCGCAAACCTCCACGACCAATGCTAATGCACGACCAACGCTTCCACAAAATCCACCAAATGACCGGCGATATCCACGGCTATCCAACGTGCCACCATAATTTTCGAACTGCTTTCTGGGTTCATGGCGTAAATCACCATTAACTTTTGCTGGATCAACAATACTGTTGCTGTTGCCACCATTTGTTAACGGTTTTCTGGAAACTAAACCAGTAGCTGAAGCTACTGTAGTAGAATTAGAGCTTGATGCAGACGGTGAAGAAAATGTACATGAAACTAAAGGAGTAGCCGAAGCGAAACTGCTTGTGGTTAGAGAAAAATTGCCAGGCGGTGGACAGTCCATAACATTAGGTGGAGGTATATTTAAGGAATTTGGTGGTGGCACAATTAAGGATCTTGGAGGTGGTACAGTAAAAGAGCCAGGAGGAAATGGAATTTTTGCTGGTGAAGGGGTGGAAGTTGTGGACATCACAGTATAAGGTGACACTGCAGCAGGCACATAATTGTTTAATGGTAATACTCCCAGCGATGGACGCACATTCGGTGGAGGTGGCGGCAACATTACAGGATGTGTGGTATGCGGATTGGTATTTTGTGATGATGGTTGGCTTCCAAGAATGGAGGAAGGAATTGCCACTGTGTTTGCTATCTGGTTACCATGTAATTGACTAGAAATAATTGGTGTTTGGAGAGAATTTGTTGTACCAGAAATAGATGCAACATCTACCACACTACCTGGTGCAGCGGTGGGTAATGAAGCAGAAAAATTCGACGATAAATCATGCATCCATTGTGGAAGATTGCCATTAGATAGTGTCGTCTGTATGTCTTGAATCGACGCTACTCCGGAAAGTGATGGAGAACTAACGAATTGTAACGATGGTATCTGGGATACCTGAGGTTGATTTGGAGGTCCAGATGACAGTAACAAGTTAGATGAAGAAGCCTGCGATAACAGTGCAAAGGATGAAGTAGAAACTGTAGTAGTAGACTCGGCTGATGATAAGCATCCAACAATTGAAGACACAAGTCGTGGATCGGATACAACTGATGATGGTGAATTTGTTCTTGATGTCTAAAAACGAGCTTCTATTTGATATTTGATCATACAATGGGTATTCAGTTAGAAAAAGTATAAATGATAGTGAATACAGAAGAAATGCATCAACGCACTACTAAGACTTTTTTGATATAATACATAAGAAGTAAAATTTCCTGTTAGCTACAATGGTAACGACCTTGTTTTGAACTAGCTCCAACGTTATGGGAGTATGATAACTTTTAATCACATCACAGTTCGACACCTAGCATTTTTTGATTTAATTAAATGAACATAAAAGTAAAATAAAAGAAAAATATAAACACGGAGGAAACATTACCTCATTTGCTCGGATTCCTTCTATCATTTTCAACATATGCGTCGAACCTCTGAATGACTGATCGGTTTGAAATGAATCTAAAGTTTCTCTTATCACCGAATATTGAAAATCTTGAATTAATTATCAGTTATCTTTATAAAATTCTCAAAACAAAAACTAGAACATTTGACTGAAAGGAAGACAAATGATATATTATTTTGATCTGAAGTAACTGAGATTTCAAGTTCGATATGCAGAGAAAGATTAATATTTACCGGGTGTAACAACAGGTTCCTCTTTGGACGGTACCAGCTTTGGTAGTGACAGTAATGAGCTAGAACCGCACTGTGGTCCTCTCATTTCTGCAACTGTTTTGTTGTGTGAGGAAAAGGAATTAGATAAGAGGAATTTGTTAGTTTTGGATATAATAATTTAAATATTTCGTCTTTCACGACACTCCCGACCAGAAAAGGTAGGTAATGCGTGGGGTTCATAAGAAAGTGGGGCTTGTTTATTTCCATTGATCTGTCCTTGATCGTGTAAATCTCTACAGGTTTCTGATGATGGTGCGGTGGTAGTTGTTTGGTTCTCCTTTAATCGAGATTGTCGTTTTGTATTGCTCCTAGTTCGCATCGCAATAGGTTCCTGGAGCTCCTCAGTGTTCTGTTCGGTTTCCGGAATTTTCATATTTTCTTTCTTATTAGGTTCAAGATGAATTTCTTCATCATTAACTTCGAGAGGATATAAGACATTTATTGGACGATCGAGAAGTTTCCCAGTGGGAGTTTCCACCTGAACGTTCCTAACTTTACCGTCTTTATCGATTTTGATGTCCTTGATCCGTAATAATTTCCACATTCCTCTTGGAATTCCCGATTCATTTAAGAGTACAATCTCTCCCTTTCTTGGAGTTCTTTTTTGTGCTCCTTTGGATGAGGTAATTTCCCTTTGCGTGCGTTCTCTGAGGCTAGTTAAATATTCGGTTCTCCAGATTTCCCAAAAAACATTGAGAGTTTTAAGGGTACTTTCCCAGTGTCTCACGAGTTTTTCTCTGGTATCTAGTCTATAAGGGGTGAATTCTTCCTGCCTGCTATAAACTTCATTTATAGGTAGATGGAGCGAAGCGTTAGGCAAAATAAAATCAATTGGACGTATAATGACGCAATCGTCAAAATTGGCGTAAGTTAGTGGTCGGGTATTAAGTATACCTTCAACTTCTGCAATTAATGTTACCAATTCCCTTTCCGCTAGGAATTTTTTGCCAATGGCTCTTCTTAGCGCATTTTTCGTTAACCCAATTAATCTCTCGTAGATTCCTCCTTGCCACGGAGCCTTTGGTATAATATTTTTCCAAGTCATTCCTCCCTTTGCTAAGAAGTTGGAGACTTTGACTTGTATCATAAGAGATCTGAAAGCCTGGAATTGAGTGGCATTGTCACTCAGTATTAGCTCAGGACACCCTCGTCTCGCAACAAATCTTCGGATAGCATGCAAAAAGGTTTCTGCGGATTGGTCTTCTGCTAATTCGAGATGCATGGCTCTTGTTGTAAAGCATGTAAATAATATTACCCACCTTTTTGTTGACACGCTATTGCCCTTGATTAAAAGAGGGCCAAAATAATCCACGCCAACACGTGCGAAGGCTCTAGATCGATTGACACGAGTTTCCGGGAGACTTGCCATTGGTGGTAATTTAAACGATCTGGAGTTCCAACGTTTACGGATTCGACATCTGTTTATTATTCGCTTTACTTCAGTCATGCCTTTGGGAATCCAAAATCTACTCCTTAATTCTGAAAGTGTATGGGCGATACCTGAATGACATAGATTTTCATGTTGGTATAGTATAAGGAGTTCTGTTATTGGGTTGTGTCGAGGGAGATAGATAGGATATTTGCTAGTTTCAGGCAGTTCCGAGTTCACGAGTCGGCTAGTAGATCTCCATAGTTTATCATCTTCGGTGTGGAATAAATTCCACTTGTTTATTTCGTCGTCACTGATTCCTTCAGATTGTGCTTGTCTAATTAATAGCCATTCTGACACTTTGTAATCTTCAGCTGTAAATCGATTTCTTTCGATTGAAACAGACTGTAGCCATGATAATCTGCCTTTAGTTGTTAATCGAATGAATTTAAGGATCCACCTGTTGTTCGTAACAGTCTTAGCCATTTGCTAAAACGTTTGCTATCAATAAATTGAAAGTTATGATCCTTGCATATTCGTGAGACTTCTGATATAGTGATTTCTTCTGGTTCGTCATTGTTGGCAAATTCCTATTCCCATTGTGGCCAACTGATTTCTCCTTTTACTAGCCACGACCGTCCATGCCACCATGGTGTAAAACTTCTAAGTTGTTTTGGATTAAGACCTCTAGTTGCCACGTCTACAGGGTTATCTTCTGATGGAATATAACGAAAAATAAATTTCGCTTTACGTATTTCCTCGACTCGATTTTGAACAAATCTTGGTAATAGGTTAGAATGGTTTTTTTCCAATATAAAGCACATTTAGAATCCGACCATAAAATTATCCTTGTATTGACGATATCCAGCTGTGTCATGACAAATTGCGCTGCTCGCGTTCCGATTAGTATGGCCATTAGCTCTAGACGCGGTATTGTCATACCTTTAATAGGAGCAATGCGAGATTTTGCAAAAATGAGCGATGACTTTGTTTCTTGCATATCCTGACTCACTAAATACACTGCTGCTGAATATGCTACGCTTGAAGCATCAGAAAATACATGTATTCCAATTAAATCTGTAGAAGTTGTTACAAATCGCGGTAAGTCTTTTACGACCGTTGCCCATTCAGCAATAAGAAATTTCCATTGCTTATGGTCTTGCTCATCTAATATCTGATCCCACGAATTATTCTTTTTCCATAAATTTTGCAAAAATATTTTAAATCTTACCATTATTGGAACTAAAAATCCTAGTGGGTCATATTGTGATGCAACAAACTGTAAGATCGTTCTTTTTGTTAGTTCTCGGTCAGTCCATGGATTTAATTTTATCTGAATGACGTCTTGACAGGGATTCCATGAGATGCCGAGGATTTTCGTATTTTTTCTTATTGCTCGATCTTGCTGCGGCAGTTCTGCATAAAATTCTTCGTCGTTAGATAAGAACTCCCTTAGATTCATTGAGGCTTCATTGAAGATGGATTTCATTTCTGCATATTTTTCTAATGCGTCCTGCGTTCCGTTTGATGACACAATAACGTTGTCCACATAAAGATTTTTCTTTATTCCTGCGGCTAATTCACTAACGTGGTTTTCCAAATGATAATTCAAGGTAGCAGATAGTAAAAAGGGGGATGATATTACTCCAAACGGGATTCTTCTAAAACGGTAACATTTTATATTCTCGTTGGATACACTTCCTTCTACTTCCTTTAGCCAAAGGAAGCGAGTACAATTTCTCTCTGAAGGGTGTAACTGTATTTGTAAGAATGCCTTTTCAATGTCAGCTGTGATTACCCCTTTCATCATTCTAAAGCGTAATAGATACTCCCACAAGATCTGGGAGGTTAATTGATCCACGTTATAATACTTCATTTAAACTTTTCATTCCCTTTATGTGCGCTGAAGCATCATAAACAATCCTTAACTTAGTGGTAGTTTTACCTGGATTACGAACATCATGATGTGGCAGGTAATGAATAATTCCATCTTGATTCATTTGTGATTGTACTTCTTCGATTATGCCGGATTGTAGTTGATCTTGCATTGCTTTATCATATTCTTGTAATTCCTCTTTATGGGACTGAAGTCGTGCTATTAGCATTCGCAAACGGCTGACGCATAATCCATAATTATCGCTCAATTTGCCTTTGCATGGTTTCCATGGCCAACGTACTTCGTATCTTCCATTTTGTTTAGTGATACTCTTCTTAAATTGTTCCAGTGCTTGTTCATCATCTTGTGTATCAGATCGATCTTGGATGCCAATACAGTCCAACTTCCAAAATTGATCTATATCTGGGGCACGGTTTTCTTGAGATGTCTTCGTTGCAAAGATCTGGTGATGGCACAATTCATTTCTATAACCGCTTCCTACTATGATAGGTCCAACTTTGCTGTTCAGTAAAGTGAATCCTGACTTTAGTTGCTGAGCGTTTTCCATATGAATAAAGTTGAAGAAACAGTCAGCTTCTATAACTATGTCAGGTTGTTTCTTGTAACTTTTAAGATGGTAATTCTCACCTTTGTCTACCACTTCCATCACTTGAAGATCGTTTGTCAAATAGTCCATTATAGTGGCTTGGATAGTCACTTGATCGAAGTTTTCCGTTTTCACTCCAATTTGTGTTTGAGTTGTGCGGCATACTCGAGGAGTCCTATTGCCAAAGAAAGAGATCTTATATTCTTCTCCATCAGTTTCTAGGAGATTTAGTTGATGAGCTAGTCTTTGTGAGATAAAGGTCACATCTGCGCCGACATCAAACAGTACTAAAGCTTGTACTTGATGTTCAGGTTTATCAGGATTAAAGACATTAATTTCTCTACATAAAAGCAGTACTCGTTTCTTTTCAACTTTCTTAGTTGAATTAACAGATATGTTTGCATTTTTGGCAACAATCTTCCCAGAATCACGAGTCTTAGTGGTACAAAGGGCGCTATTGTGGGATTTTTGGCAATAAAAACAACTTGCTCTTTTTATGCAGTTGAGTTCGTTGTGTCCAGATTTAAAACAATTAGAGCAAACATTGATTTCCTTCAATCGATCAATTCGCTGCTCCACTGTAGAATATATGTGACACTTGCTATCCCAGTGATTGTTATTGCAGAAGATACAGGGTCTCCTTTTCTTATTTGTTGACCAATTTGGATTCTCTTGATTTAGCTGGTTCCTTTCGGCTGAAGCCATTCCTCTTGTTTGCTTTGATTGTTTTATTGCAATCAATGCTGAATTTTCTGGAATGCTTGCGTTAGGATGACGTTTAATTAAATTTTTACGACTGACGTTATCCAAGTATTGCCATTCCATTACCTGGTCGTTTCTATTAATTGTCTTCCTGAGAAGCTGTCGAAGTTTTGTTACGGACCACTGGCCATCTTCTTCTTTTTGTTGATAAACCTGGTTTAATATCCAGTTTGGCAATTTGGATTCTACTATCGTTTCGATGGTAGGTTGCTCTACGTTTTCGCCAATTGCTTCTAACTGCCTTAGAACTCTCTCCATTTCTTCGATTATTGTTTTCCAGTCTCGGTTGTTTCGTTTTGTAGATATGAGTTCATTGTAAAGTAATTTTCTTATAGTGGAAACACGACCAAATTTCTCCACTAATAATTCTCTTATAATTCCATAGTTTTCAGGTGCCCTATCGTAACCTCTTACTAGCTGTAGGGCGTTTCCTCTTAAGCAAGAAACCAAGTAATTTAATTTTTGGATATCTGGTATGTTTTGAGAGTGTACGGAGGCTTCGGAACTACTCCAGAATTCTCTCCATGTTTTAGGGTCTCCACTAAACGTTGGTAACGACAATTGTGGTAAATTTACTACTGGACGACATTCAGTTAAGCTAGGTTCTTTAATTTGTGCTAGACGTTTAAGGGCTAACTCTGTATCATCCTTGTACATAGATAAGGTTATAATGGTATCCGTACCTATGTTAATTAATTTTAAAATACCTCTATCGTCGTTTGCCATTTGTTCGTATTTTTCTTCTTCTTTTTTCTTTTGCGACATTGGGGCTAGTTGAATGTGTTCCAACCATTTGTCCTTGATCTTCTCAAGAGTGCCAACGTATTTTTCGAGGCGCATCAACTTTTCTTTGATGATCCTTGCCCTTGCTTCATATTGCTGGCACAATACTTCTACTGTCGCTTTTCGGTCTAACGGAGTTAGATCCATTTGTTGTATTTCATCGAGGAGTCCCTCGAGATTCGCTTTTACTGGTGTAGCTTGAACAATTATACTGGCCGACATACCTTACCTCACCTCGGGCACCAAAAATTATTCTTTGTCGTGAAACCTCAAACTTGGGTAATTAAACCTTTATTTAACATGAAGCAAATAATAGCGCTTTATACATATCGTACGGATGCTACACCGTTTAACAAACGCGTAAACTATATAAATGCAATAATATAAAAATGGTGAAATAACACAAAATTATAAAGTATTAGACGCATCCCAATACCACCCAAAACATAAAGCAAATGATGGTTATGGAAGGATTGGTTGGGTTATATATAAGACTGATTTAACGAATGGAGATTAGATGGGAGGATTTCTCATGGATGAACAAAGAAGATTGTTAACAAGATTAGTTTATATACAGAACTGAACTGACCAGATATTCGGCAGAGGAGGACATTTAAATGATATGAAACAGACTGCTAATAAAGGGTTTTGCTAACAAAGGGTTTGCTAACAAAGGGTTTTTGTTGTGTGAGGAAAAGGAATTAAATAAGAGGAATTTGTTAGTTTTGGATATAATAATTTAAATATTTCGTCTTTCACGACAATATCTGAGGAAAATTTTTAAATCTTCAATAAGATTTCAAGCCAAATGATTAACTGAGAGCATATTTTTATACTTTATAACGAATATAAGTAGTTATTTTTATGTGTTCAGAAAATGATTTTTATTAAGGAAGTTTTTTATTTCTTCATTTAATAGGTTTCGGTAAAATTGCTGTAAGTAATGAACTGATAAAACTGATAAACTGATAAAAATTCATCTGTAATAAAAATTTAAGCCTATTTGAAGGTATTGTCTTCCTCCTTCTTCTTCTATCTCGTCTCCGTTTTATGGCTTTTAGGAATGCTGAAACCATACAAATTTTACCAAAGAGAAATAATGATTTGTATTATATGTTAGCTTCGGATAGCTTCATTATTTGCTTATAAAGTGAACGGGAAAAATGTGGCATATTGGAACTGAGAAGAGGTATCATATATTTTTGCATAATGCAACATACAACTAATTTTCCAAGTGGAATATAATTAAACAAGTCACAGGAAGCTATTACTTACCATATATTATTGTCCTCAGCATTATAACCATATCCATAACCGACTTCTTTTATTTCCGGGAAACTAACTCTACAACATGGCAAAGAAGCTTTCAAACTTTGTAATGCGTCTGTTTGTTGTGCTACGCATGGTAAAAAGTAAAAATGCGCTCGCTGTAATCCACGTATTCGTTTAATCCCTTTCATGAAATAATCACTGATGTAAGGATTTGCAACAATTTCCTAAAACAAAATGACAACTCTTAAAAAAAAAAAAAAAAACTATTCATTAACTGAACGGTGCATATTTTGCATTACAGCTCGGCTATCTCTTTGATTAAATTAAATATTAGAAATTTTAGGAAACTTTTGTATTGAAGAAACAAGATCAAAAACAAACAATGTTCCGTAAAGTTCGTGAAGGTCGTCCCGAGACAAGATGTTCAATTGCTTTGTCGGTGAAGAAGTCACAAAAATTCAATTTCAACACTTCTATTTGTCGGCATTCTTTGAAGTACTGAAAACCAGAATCACTAATAGCTGAATCAGTCCCATCGACCTGAATGAAAATTCCACGTAATTGTAAAATTACATTTCAATAGAAAACATTACAGGCTTCAATTTCATGAATTCGCTTGGGAGTTAAAACAAACAGATGAACTTTAAACTCAAAAATTATATATACGTATACATTAATAACTGACCTTAACAATATATACATTCGGTTTTTTAGCCCACCGCATATCATAAATGGCATTAAGCTTTTTCATACTAATTGTTGGCAGCACTGGACTCCATTTGAAGGAAGTCGTGGCGATTGGCTAAAGATTTGTAAAATTTTAAAAATGTAATTTTGATTCGACGAAAATTGATATGAATTACATTTTAAATCTTACGATATTTTTCAAATTGAAACCAAAATCACTAATATAGCGCCGCATGTTTGATCTACATGTGATCGATGTTCCATCACTCATTACAACCTGTAAGATAACGTTAATTTCTAAATCGAAACAAAGATATTCCACACAGTTTACTAATGCCAACTTTTCGGTTCTTTTTGCCTCAAATAAAGTCAAAAAAAAGTAGGGGAGAATGACATAAATAATATGAACTAAAAATTACAAAACTAAAAGATATAATGTGACGTAAACGAACATATTTATTGTCATATTATCATATATTTGGGGAAATATTGCATATTATACCATGTCCCATTATTATTTCAAAAAGATGCAGTAAAAATAAATGAGTGATACCTCAGTAGAGCCACATTCCATTAACCATTCTAAGCAAGCTAATTCGGGACCAAAATACATCACACGATCAGTCTGGAACCTACAACAAATTCAAACGATTTGATTTAATTACATCTAAATTTTAGTTTGTAGCCGAATAGCTGACTTATCTTCAAATTTAAAAACAATTGAACTTTGAATTATTTCAATGACATTAATATACTACATTTTAATCCATTAATATATTACTTTTAACGTACATCAAATTCTTTTCCTGCATGGAAAGTCTCAACTAATCACTATCATATATGATGAAACTGGTTAAGGTTGATTAAATCACCTGTTGGAAAACTTATCGGCGATAGATTTCTTGATGTGAAGACTTTTGATTAGTGAACCTTGTGTGGTACGGGACCTCAGTGACCGCAATGAAATAGTCACTCGGAATATGGATGAAAATTTGTATGATGATGCAATATAATCCACCATAATTATGCAAACAGTTACCTGGAGGAAGTAAACAAATGATTAGCAAACAGAACAAAAGGATAAGTAATAAATCAACTGCAAATATAACAAGCATGCATATACAACTACCAAGTAAGCTTTGAAAAGAACCAGTGGGCTCCATTCAATTTCAATACCTTACTTGATTTGAACATACCACTCCCATCCATTTCATTGAATGTTGTCATGATGCATGCAAAGGAACATAAGTAAAATGAAATGCTTCAAACTAGGCAAATAGCTGTTTCTTACTCTCATTCTGGGTTCATGAATTTAATGTAATCTTGACCATCTACAATCAAATCAGGATTTGAATTCTATCAATTGCGAATACATTACATTGCAAAAAGGACCCTAATAAATGGACAAGTTAGGATAGTCCCGCTGATGATTTTATTGGTTAACCAACCTTTCTCAAATTTCTTGAATACCTCATTTCTTAATTGTTATTGCTCATCAACAGCATATAAGCGCATTTTCTAATTTGCATACAGTTCTGGCAACATTAAATCACTAATACCAAAATAAACAATTAAATCTATTTTCAAAAATTAACACAATAATAAGTGATGAGTATCATAAAAAAAAAAAAAAAAAATCAAATCAAAACCAAAGAGTACGACATCAGCTGAGAAATTAGACTTAATCTCATAATCTCCTTATCCAACTCAAATTTTCATTTCCCATATCAAGATAAAGCTCTGTCAGAAGTAAGGAATTAAAAACAAGCTAATTTCTCAATTTTAATATAATCTTTTTTTTTTTTTTTTTTAAGTACAAAAGAAGAGAATAACTCAACAGAGAATAATTAGGTGTACACACTGTAGTAATGGAAAAGTGGTAAACTTTAAGACGCCTATAAAGCTAACTGTTTGAAAAATTAAACTTGGTGAGTTGTAACAAGAAAAAAGAAAATTAAGGCCTGAAAATATATTTTGCTTCATCACTGGCAATAGCTATCAAAAACACTATTGATAAAATTCCATTAACTGGATTTGTTTTTCTTTAGCTCAGGCTCTAACTGATCAATCCGTATTTCGCAAACTATTTGCTGAGGATGGTTTCGTTGTTCATCATTGCTGATGTCACCACTGAATCTTTTTGCTTCCGCCAGTTCTTCACTGTTGGCTCCATCGACTTTACGTTTTTGGTTATCAGAGGAGAACAGAAATTCATCAGGAAGTCGAAATGTAACACAAAACATATTCTTACGTCCAGCAACTTTTCGAACAAAACGTACTTCAGTGAAATTCAACTCCGAGATACTGAAAACTAAACAGTTAACACAATGATCTAAATTCATTCCTGAGGATTAATATAAAATTTGAGAGGCAATTATCTAAAAATGTGAAAAAGAAGCTCTTGTTTATAAATTTTGTTAGCATCTCAAATAAATAGATAAATAAAAATACTGATTTTGGAAAGCGAAATTCAACTAATTCGAGTAAACCTAACAAATTTTTTACTGCTAACAAAGCTTACCCAATACTTTTGCGTATCAAATTTTGTGCTTCATTGAAGTACCAGTTATCCTCCAAATCACCCGGTGCTTTTACAAAGAAATGACAATGCACAAACAACGGAAATGGAAGGGTAGTGCCTACAACAAAATTGTAGTAAAACATAATAACACGATAAAAGATCACTTCCTTTCTAGAAAATTCAAAAAATCCCTCATACAGTCACATGAACTGTTCACTAACCTGACAAATTGAGTTTATCATGTAGACAACCCCGAAAATGAGGAAGAAAGTCTAATGACATGCCTGGTAAGTTCATTACTACATGTGCATCTGTGGGAATGTTATCTGAAAATAGAGAAAATAGAAAAAAAAAAAAACAATTAGAAATCTGAGAACAGAAATAAATCAAAATTTCTTGCTGGAAAAATTTGACTTCCACAACAAAATTTAAAAAAAAAAATAGGAATAATAACTGATATAAAACCTGTAGAACTACAGATATTGTAATTTTTTGCTTCATTTGTCAAATCATCTGCGATAACATTCTTGATAAATATGGCTCCATCCATGTTATACAATTTCAGCCGCTCGAATGATAACTAAAACTTAGATTGAATAATTTTGGAAAAAGAAATACTCACAAAAAGATGGACTGTACGTATTATGAAAGAACAAAAGTGAAAAATTTGGAATGGAGACAAGATGGATTTCAAAGTTTTAAAAAATATAGCAAAACAGAAATTTTTAATTTGATAATATTTCCTGTAAAAAAACTACGACTGGAATAGAAATCATGATTTATAATGAAGATGAGTAAAACCTACACGATTCAGTTCCATATTTCGCTTGAGATAATCAATACAATTCGGATTTAGGTCATTTGCTAAAACATGATGAACACCATTCCTTATTACCGGTAAAACGAAAGGTCCAATACCAGCACAGCAATCATAAAAAATTGACCGCTTACCAATTTTTCGCACTATCCTCTTATGTTCTGTGCTTAATCTTGGGTTATAAAACACCTATAATTGATTTGAAAAAAAATTTATTCTAGTCATTTTTGATGCAAATACTTGTATGAAATGATTAACAAAAAAGAAATAAAAGCAGTAACAAAAATTTTAACTTTCATTATGTAAGAAAAAAAAAAAAAAAAACTGGAAAATAACCTCACTAAAATCCAGCTGATAACGTAGTTTTTCTTCATGCACCTCAGTCTTATAATTTTCCTCACCAGCAAGCAAATCAAGTTCAAATGTACGATATTTATGTCCGATTGCATCCAACTTATTAACAACTGTCCTGCAAAGGCGAGAATATTTGAGAGAAAAATTGCTTTTTCAAGTTAGAAAACAAATATGGAAAATCCAGGGATATGTATGATATCTTAATTTTGAAAATCTCATAATTTGAATATATCAAAGCCATCCAGTTATCTATCTGTCATGATACAAACTGATATTCTGGACTTCCAGCGTTGAATAAAATGAAAATACGTACTTACAACTGCTGATTTTGTCGAGAAGTATTTTCCCAATAGCTTTTTTATAAAAAAGTAGCTCTTCTCGCAAATTCACATGGACAATATGACCAATCTGAGAGAAACCGCTGAAGATTACAGCAATTATTTTCTAGATTTTAAGGATGATTTAATTTTAGGAAGTTTTTAAAAAAATATGAAATTTCAATTAAACAAATTGCTACTAAATAATCAGCATACCCGAATTCGAGTCCTTCCGGTAAAATTGCAGTAATACACGATTTTACAGACCAGTCGTCATAATTCAAGGTTATATTGTAAGAATCAAACTTGGCTGTAAGACCCGTCAAGTTTTCTATAGTGTTCAAAACAACATTTCTTGTATTTCCATCCATCTTTTCGGGATTAAATACAATAGCTTTTTCGCTTTGTCTTGGAATATTTATGACAGGCTGAAATTCTAAAGAATTCAGACCAAATTCCTGACAATCACAGAATATGTAATGAATTACCACATAATCCAAATTGACTGACTTAAACGAGATCCACTTTTATAGTCATGGATGTCAAGTGTTGCGAATTTCAAATGTCACCAATCTCGAAACAAATTATTATACAAGTACCTTAATTTTATTACAAAATCGTTCTACCGTTCTATCTGCTATTTCCTTACACCCAATTAGACGACTGATAACCTTCGGCGGTACAATTACGACCGGTAGAGTGATTTCTTTGCTGAAACAGACAAGAAACTGTAATAAACAGAACTGGCCTTTATTAAATATTTTAATCCGCAGTGAGAAAATCAGCAAGAAATTCCATATCCATAATTCTTAATAATATAAGTCTTATAAAAAACTGACCAAACTTACTTCTGAACTTGTTATTTTAAATACTTGCTTTTTCAAACTTCTAGTAAATTAAATACTTCAGTACTTTTTTTACAATTGCAGAAAATATACTTTATAAATCTGACAAGAATTTGGTGGATCTTGATACTACTACGAAGCTTTCTCATTAGACTATCAAAATAATAGAATAATTTTCAACACGTGACATGTAAGATGATTAAACCAATTCGAGTTTCAGCAGTGATAGGTAATACCTTATCTGTTACTATAAATACAAAGAAATCATCTCGTAACGCACTTCACAAAATATTTAAGAATGAAATGAACCTCAAATTACATTCATTATAAAACTTTCACCAACTTGAATAACTTTTTTTCATTGTCCGTAAGAACAGTAATTCCTCGAACTTCACTGGAAATAGTAAACATCGAAGATAATTTCTTCATATGGAATCTTTCCCAAAGAAATCTTGATTATGGACGGGAAATATGCTTCAGTTAATGATAGTAATTCAAGGACATAATATATCCAAGCCAGTACATAAAATAAATCTGCAAATTTATTTGTATTTGTATTTTTGCACCCACAAAATCGATGATCTCTCACGCAACCCACCACCCTTCCAATCGATCGTTTTTTTCTTGTTTTCAAATGACGATCCTTTTGACAAAATTGATTGTGAATTTTCAATTACAAAGAACAAAACTTGAAGTACTGCTTAGGTATTAAACATATGACCCTTAACTTTTTCGTTGTTATCAGTAATGCCAAATAAGCTAACAATGATAAATAAATATTGCTAAAGTTGACACAAATATTGGAAGTGCAAAAAAAAAAAAACGAGAAGAAAAAAGTTTGCACTGTGTGACGCAGAATAAATATTTGGTTGGATGAAAGAAAAAAAGAAGCTTTATTGTAGTGAAACAATAAATTAAACATAGCAAAAATGCAATAACTACCTTCAGTTGTCAATTCCTCACCGATTTCGAGACGGAAATACAATGTTAGTTACAACTTCAAGAAGAAAAATGCATAACTACAAAAATGGAAACAATTTTATAGCTTTGCAATAAATCTTGATATTTCATCATATTCAAGATCCCCAACACTGATCGGTTCATCACTATAAGCTTCTGTTCTATAATACTCCACGACTGGATTGTTATTCAACGTCCGAGCAGTCCGATTTCCAACTACGAATATGTGAGGAATTCCTGAATTTAACAGCAAAATGATGCATAGAAATATAAGAAAAAGTGTCCAATAAAATATACAAAGAAATGTTATTAGCATCACTGAAGATTTATTTAGCAGTAGATTTTAATTAGGGAGAAATTACTAGATTATCACCGAGTTCGTTCCAACATTGTGCAACGTCACTAAAATATGACCGTAGACTGAATGTATGAATTCCACGCTAAGACACCCTGTAGTGCTAACCTCAAATGGGTCACTCACTTTATCTCACTCCTCGGGAATTTTTTAAAAGCTTTTTTAGGATTTCATAATATATAACCTAGATTTGCAGCCGTAAGCAGTCGCCTTCCAATTGAATTATCTAGTCGATCATCAACAAAAATATCATTTTGTACAGATGATATTTGACTGAGATGGCCGATAATATTTTCAGCAAATTCCATCGTTTCGGACTGAGTTTTGTTTGGCAGAATAACGGCCACTTTAAAAGGGACCAATGCATACGGCAAACGAAGAGCTTTTGTACTGGGTGACATTGAGTCAATTATAGCTGCTATCAAACGACCTGAAAATATCAATGTTTATTGACTATGTTATTCATCAGAGTTCCACAATTACGCCAGTAGAAAGCAAAAACAGTTGTTTCAAATACTGTAAATTACCAATGCCGATTCCGAAACAGTTCATTATCAGTGGTTGATTATCATGTTTGGCCCCAAATTTTTTAGTGAACAAATCCCCCAACTGAAATGTATGAGCTATTTCAATCGTTTCAACAATCGAAATATATTCCTTGCTACAACAACAAGGCTTTTCACCACGTTTCAAGAGATCATGATTCATACCTGAAATAGAAGAAGAAAGGAAAATAATCTTTCACATCGAAAATGGTAAAGTTCAAGAAGCTATGCTACCCTGACTTCTGAAGAAAAGTTGTGAGAAGTACCACATACTTTTAAAAAGTTTCAAAGACCTGTAAGTTACATTCCAGACCAATAAAAAGCTTTTCTTTTTTTGCAGCCAAGCGCAGAAAAACCGAATGAAATTTTGAGAAATCCAAGTGATCTCATGCAGCTTTTTCAAGTGAAAATTTATTTATCTTTTTCAAAGAAGATAAATTTTAGCACTAATTTAAATTTTAATGAAACTAAAGATATAACAAAAAGTTACCTAAATTACATTTTGAACAGTAAGCAATACTATCGCGGCCTGTCTTACACGGTAAATGATATTCGTGTGACATGTCACCACCGATGTTTCCAGCATCGGCTCGAACAATATAAAAATTAATGCCGAGGCGATCATGAAATATTCGTTGATACGTCTGTAAAAAATACATCCGACTTGCATAGTAATTTGGAAGAAATGATACAAGAAATGCTTCAAATGAAGAAGACATCCAAATATAAAATTAAAACATAATTTGTGAGATTGAAAAAACTGACACGGATTACTGATCACCTTGATAATAATTTACTCTTAATCCATTCTACAAAGCTGCTATAACATTCATTTATAAGCCTCAAATTTCATATAATAATAAATGCTTACTTTACTAACGAGACTGTAAGTATCTGAAGCATTTTGCTCCGTCAGATCAAAAGAATATAAATCGTTCATCAAAAATTCTCTACTGCGAAGAAATCCATGTCCAACAACTGTCTCATCACGAAATTTTGGCCCCATTTGATAAAGCATTAACGGATAAACAGCTTGTCTTAATTCACCTGGAATAAGAAATTTCATTAAGATTTTTATGTTTGTAAGGAAACTCCTTTACAAACAAAAAATGAAAGACAAAAAAGAGAATGTCATGGTCTACTGTTGTAAAGCACTTTGGCCGAACAATGTTCCGCCCACTTAATTTCACCTTAAATCAATCTTAATGAAATCCGCTCTTCATAGAATTCGACAAACAGTATGCCAATACTCTAATTAATAAGGAAAACCTATCGTAGCAGTCCCGTTATTAAGAAGATAGAAGTACACAACAAAATGTTTCTTAGTCACCAATACACTTTTAATTTGATTCCGACTATGCAATATGTAATTGTCAAAGTTCCCATAAAAATGATTAGCTGTCTTAACAACACCAATTTGCGTTGGACGTATATATATTTGATCACTATTATGAGCTATATTATGTGCTATATTATGTGAGTAAAAATTAACGTTTTAAAGTACAAAAGTACTAAAATAAAAACTCAATGTCTTTGAAACCTGACATTTTGCAATATCTGACCATATTACCTTGTTCGGCAACCAACTTTGTTACCATTTCTTCATGAGTTGGCTGAAGACAATAAATCTGATTCGTTTTGTCACTCAAATGAAACATTTCCGATTCGAAAGCGCTCCATCGACCAGCTTTTTGCCACATTTCTTTCGCACCCAGTATCGGCATACTAATTTTATAAGCACCGATAGCATTCAGTTCCGTTTCAATCACTTTTATTAATTTATCGATGATGCGCTGACCAAAAAAAAAAAAAAATCGATGATACGCTGACCAAAGTGGAAAGTTAAAGACTGTTAAATCCAATGAGTTTTTCAATTCCTATAAAAGTTTTGCCATAGAACATATAGATTCAAGCTAATCATCCTGACTTTGTTTTCCCTTGAAAAAAAACTGTAGACGACCAGCAGCAAGTCCCTCGAATCATTGAAAGGGAAGTTTAGAAGATACCAATAGGAAGTATCGAATATATTCCTTTGTGCTCATGGGCAATCAGCGCTTTGGAAAGCATAAGCTGATGGAAAATTTGGGTTGTTTTCACCTTGACATCCAGTGAGCCAAGCAACATCGTAGATGCTCGATGCACTCTCATTCCTGCAAATCTTTAAATCATTGAAATAAGATAATATAAGACTTAAAAGTAGCGTAAACAAGATGGCCATTTCTTCTCGTACATATATGTTCGATTATACTCAAAGTACAGCTCTGAACTGGTCCTGATAAACATTTTCTAGTTCAGTCATTTTATTGCATATATCTAATCCCATGCTGAATTTAACAAGGAAGTAAAGATCAAACGTAGTCGTTAATTAAAATAATATAACTCAAGTAAAAAGAATGGAATGGATGCTGACATTCTAGCCAAGGAAATGGTATAGGAAAGGTCACGCGTGTTTGCGATCATTATGACATGACCTATAACTGATTAGAAATTTACAATCTCCTGTTTTTTTACCAAGATCAACTCTTATCGCTCAACTTTACACCCCTATAACTCAGAACCATGGATATTACATGGTAACATCCACAAATCATTGGCTACGCAAGACCTTGCGGCCCGTGAATTATAGTGGTAACAACTCTGAGTGACTCCAACAGTTTTATGATGTTTGACGTAACTTCTTTGATCATTGTTTCGTGCTTGCGTTGTCTCCTTCATATTCACATTGTCTTCTATATAAACGTGTGCTCGCGTTGTGACCCCATCAATGCTATTTAGGGATAATAGCTAATAGGGTAATACCTCAACTTTCCTCATTATCAGTTATATAAAAATCATTCCGTTCTTCTTTCCCACTTCATTCGAAATTTTTTTGCTTAATTTTTTCAAATTCTCAGTTATATAGCATGTCAAGACAGTAATATAAAAACTGAAATCACTAAAATAAAAATATTTACATCTATGTAAAAGGAGAAATTCAAACTTTATGTGATTTCCGATTCATGCTGTGAAGGTTTTTTTTTTTCATTTAAACGACGCGACATTCATATTTATACATCAAATAGAGATGAATTAGGGAAGAATGACTAATTTTATTTAAAAGAGAAAGAAATTTCAATCAATCAATATCTGAAACATAAATCATTAAATCTTGTCCCAGTAAAGTTATCATTGACTGATAAGAATCATTTATTATATCATTACCTTTTTTTACCCTGTCGCTATGAATGAAAGTTCCAAGTAAATAACTGTTTTTTTTTTTTTTTTCTAAAAACTGCTTTGATTTTGATTTACTTGTTATGAAATTCTTCACTTTTCAGAGTCAATTAATTTGAAACTTTATTGAGTAAAATTTCTTTATTGAGACAAAACAAGGCAACGATTTATTATTATGATCAAAATATAAAATGAAACGCCAATAGTCCATGAAGAAACGCCACTATGAAGCCACTTATATGCATTCCCTTTTGTATTACACTCTGAAATTTTATAAATTTTACTTTTGGTGATATCGGTAACCATTGGTGAAAATATTTCGAGATACTACGACTCTTTTCAGAGGCACTTCTATGTTTCCTGAGTAAGCTCTTTTGCAACCAGACGATAGGAAAGCGTTTAAGTAGGTAGGTGGGTTAAATTTTGCTTTTTCTATTCCTTTTTTTTCTAATAAAATTTAAATATTTCAATTGTAGAATTATTCTGAATTGCTTATTCATCAAAGCGATCTTTTTATTCCAGCAAGAATAGTACCTTACATTGATAAAATTGTTCTAGATCCTATATCAATGATCTATTTTATAAAGGTAACAACGACATGTTCCAAAATTTTACAAAAAAAGGTAGTAAAAACTTACTGTAATTTACAACAGCTTGGGCTTCAGAGAGTAAACTACAAGATTTTCCGTGTACATCAACATCAATCTGATGGTTAGAACCTGTTATTTTATCATTAAGTACGAATGCTTTACGTGTCACTTTATTGTACTTTGGCCATTGTGGTCTGGGAACACTGCAAAAAAAGTTTGTGTTACGCTTGCAGATCCATGGATGGTTTTTGACTTAAAGATTTGGAACTAGACCTTTATAATTAACTATATCACAGATTGTGGCCAATATACGAATGATTAATGAGTATCATAATTGGCTTAAGAGCCTTTCAAAGCTCTAAAGAACTAACCCTTCGGCAGCAAAGGTAGCCCAGTATTTCATGATTGTTTCTGAGAAACGTTTCTCAGAATCAAGCTGTGATTGTGCGTACAAATGACTATGCCTGAAAGGTTGTCCAAATACATATTCAATTTCATAACCATGCATTACTCCCATCCATTTTGGCCATGGATTTGCTGAAGACCTGAAATAGGAAAATAACAAAATGAACTGAAATTGGAATGAAATCGAATAGTTAGCCAGAGAAGAATAAATAGTGATATAGAACACTAGAAATAATTATGAGATAAATTAAGTTTAACATATTTCTCTCTAATCTAGTTTCGGACATCGTCTTATTTTAATTTCTCGCCAAATAAAGGGGGTCAAAGGTGACTCATGCTTATATTTTTACCGCACGAAGGAAAAATGTACAAAAAGATTTGAAATACCTCTTTGTAAAATAGTACATATAGACGGAGCCATAAATGTTGTCCGCTAGAATATCAGCAAATTCGATTAAGCTGCACGTAAAAAAGAAATCTCCAATAAAACGTGCAACGCCATCTCGTAATCTTTCTTGTGGATCTTTACTTTCCGATATCTAGCAAAAGCAGGGAAAAATAATTATAAAAACAAAGAAGAATTAAAATAATCAAAAAATTAACTTAAATAACACAATCATTATTAATTCAATAAAAATTGTGCAATTAAAGTAACCTCCTCATACGCGTGTAGCAATGCATGTTTCACTAATTGGGAATCATCAAAATAAGGAATAAATGATTGGATTGAACATGTGTATTGTGCTCTAAAATGAAATTATCACTAAATTAAAAGATTTCCAAATGTCTAAAAAAATGATCCAAATGATCAATAAATGAACTCAAAGCTGAGAAAAATAAATAAATGACGAAAGATGGTACTTCAAAGTTTTTCCAATTCTATCCTTGAAAAAATAAAATAAACAGAACAGCTTAAAGAGGGTTAATTGATTGAAAGGGGAAGAAATAGAATAAACCTATTGATTAAAGCCCGATTGCTGGGATCATCAGCTGATATAGTATGATTGAACTGGAAACCCATTTTAGGATTTAGAAAGTAATAGGGCAACCAGTATGTGCCTTCATCTTTCATCGAACCGATCAATACGCTTATATCTTTAGTAAAATCGCGCATCTTCAATTTCGTAAATAAATTACCCTGAAAAGAAAAACTAAGAATTAAGCGTAACCTTTCATATAGAGTTTTATCAGAATCTCACTGCAAGCATTTGTTTGGCGCAATTAAAGCTTAAATTATAAGTTTATATTTCAGCACTTCAAAATTATTCTAAATTATGGACGCAACGTTAACCAGACGAAATGGCATGTCCCAAGGAATAAGATAAACACTACTTCATCATATTTAGAATTTTGCAAAAAAAAATTTACTGCTGTAAGGCATCATGCAACAGAAAAGGTAGTTGCGCCTTTAGCGAAGCACAAAGCTAACCGAATGAATGATTCGTTAGTTTCGAACCTTGAAAAAATGTTCATCTTCTTCGACAGGCACAAATGGGAAAGTCATCGGTAGCACTTGATCCACGCCAACAGCATCTGCTGCTTTCTACAAATGTAATTTCATTCAGATCATCTTTTTAAACTTCTCCACAAACATATTTGATGAAATTTCGAAACACATTGTAAAACGATGTTTATCAGTTCAAGCTGGACTATTTGTCACTAAACAATAATTGTATTTGTATGGCTAAAGTTACAGACTCAATTAATTCAAGTACTGATAAATTTATTAAATGTACTGACTATTAGGTTAGCAGTGTTAGCCAGGAAATAAAATAGTCTATAAAATTTGTATATGCATAGTTTGGCTTTTTACCTATGAATTCCTTAATCTGAAAACACTGCATTTTAAAACTAGACCGAGAAAGTTTCAAATTAATTTATCAGATACCTGTATATTTGCAGCAGATGCTTGTCTGATGCATTTTTCAATCAAATGAACATCTGAATGTTTGTTACGTCCAGAAGTACAATTCAATTTCTCAGCCAAAAACATAGATGTTTGCAGTGCCATATTCTTCTCTTTTATGGCCCATGAATTTGCTATCGTACCGCTCTACAATAGTGAAATCAGCAAATTAACAAATTTTTAAAAACTTTAAAACTGACTTGAAATTTAATGAAATCAACTCACCATGAGCACTGCTCTCTGGAAATAACGGGAGCTTCCGGGTGCGAAAAAATGAGCTGTCACGGATGCTGCACCTGCGCTTTCCCCGAACAATGTTATCTGTAAAATTTGCTCTCTTGTGATTTTCATTATAATTTTACAGCTTAGTATCTATTAAGCTAGTCAGCATTAGCAAAAAAATCAAACATTTTAAAAAATACCTTATTTGGATCACCACCAAATGAGGCAATATTTTCATAAATCCATCGCAAAGCAAGTTGCTGATCCATTAGGCCCATGTTACCGGGTATTGATGATCTGCTTCCAAAGTACAAGAAACCAAACGGTCCTAGCCTATATAATAGGTAAGAAATCAAGTATTATAACACATGAGCACCAATATTTCTAAACAACTTGCCTTAAAAAAATCGCTTTCTTAAAAGTTATTCTCATTAAATGTGAGAGAATGATTTGATGAATTCACTTCATATTTGAGATAAACTTATTAAATTCATTTTACATTGTTCATAGAAAAAAAAGAAAAAATGGCGATTTTTTTCCACTTCATCTCAACCAAATTTTATTACAAAAAGAATTAGCAGCTTTGCAATTTAGATTAAAAGGTTAGCACACCTGTAATTAATGTTAACGACGATTGTCTTTTGACGACTTGCAAGCACTCGCCCATCATAAAGATCCAACGATGGTGAGCCAGAATAGAAGCCACCGCCATAAATCCAAACCATTACTTTCCCGTCATGTTTCTCTGGTACCCACATATTCAGCGCCAAGCAATCCTCATCAAATACCTGCTCATTCAAATATATTTACAAATATTAAAGGAAGTGCTTGTGAAATTTTTCAATATTGCTAGAACTAATCGAACAATTACACTCGCAACGATCTATCAAGCCAGCGGCCCAATAGTCCAGTAGCCCAGTAACCCAGAGCTTAAGTACCTTAGTACAATAGTGCATCATTCTAACTCTCAATATCGTCTCAGTTTGTTTGAAGTTCCGTAACGAATAAACGAATAATTTGTACTAAAGTACTTAAATTTGAAGAGTACTTAAATACTCTAATTAATTTCACTAGTAACTATTCCTTCCCTCCCGTATTAGTGGTTCCCTTATTTATTTTCATTAAAAGTGTGTGCTTCCTTTTAACTTCTGATAGGCGGAAAATATCAATTAGACTGATGTGGCATAAGAAAACTTCCATTCCTTTTTTTGCAAGATAAATTATAATAAACATGCATCAAAAAAGTATTTACATTTGGTGGATTCCACATTTCGGCTCCAGGAAACTGCGGGAACTGACTATCTGGAGTGATATAACATGTTCGGGCAGGTTTTTGGGCTTCCAATTCGCCTTGCCATGGTTCAATCATTTCGGGTAATGCAAATCTTCGATTGCCGATAGGTGGTTGGGCAAATGGAATCCCGAGGTAGGCATTTACAAATGTATCATCGAATTGCTGTAATTAAATTAAATTCAATTTGACTGAACACAAAACAAACAAAATCTACTTTTCTTCAAGACTTCATTCATCCATTCCAATGTTTATGTATGAAGACTTACATGAATCTATCGGAATATTCAATCTTTCTCATATTTTCTGGAACATAATTATCAAAATAAATAAATTATTTCCAATTCATTTTTTTACAGTATACTTTATTTCCCGGTTACATAATTTTTTTTTTTGCTTAACATAAGATGCACTTTTCCATCTTGTCACATAAATCTTGTTTGGCAACATTTGACTATTGGAGATGCTTGCTTACTGTGTGTCCTTTAGCATTTCCATTGGGACCATCAAAAATTCTTCTCTGTCAGTAAAAAATTTCGTGAATATCATGTCATCCTACATTGTCTCCATTCATTGTTATTCCAAAAAAATCCTTAATCTCTTATGGTTACAATGAACAATAAAATTAAGGTACCAAGGTATGCCTCAATGTTATTATTTATTCTAATCAGTGTTTAATTACACCGACTATTATGATCATTATCTTATCATTTTTAATGATTGCACTAAACTAACTCAACTGGATAACTTTTTAAAAGTTTACACTTCGAAATATTTAGAATGTAAAATGAGTTTACCTGCTGTATACCTCGAATAATGCCTAATTTGGTGCGGACAGTGGTTTCATCTTTGGATGATAACCTGCTGGCATAAATTATCTCTATTGCTGTGAACAAGAACAGATAAAAAGTAGCAAAGTACGGGTGCATCATCGTTCGTCCACATCCTAATAAATCATCCTTATCTGTGTGTCCTAAAAATTAACAAACTTCTGAAACATATTCCTTTCCCAATTTTGTAGTTTCTAACTGGAATGGTTTTTTAAATTAATTTATCATTGGCCATTGTAATTACAACACCACCATTCTGAAAATGTGTACGCACAAATGTTGCCTTTTATCAGGCAATAATCAGCAACAAAAAATAAATAAAAAAATAAAAGTAAAACAAGATGCACCGATAAAATATTGAAGTATAAAAGGTAAAATCCACTTGCTGAGAACCTATTCGAACTATTTTATTTATCAAATATTTGAATAAAAATGAATAGTGCTGCAAATTAGTGTACTTTCAGATTAACCGCAAACAAAATTTAACGAAATCGAAATTTTAAATATAACTTCTCTACCCTTCTTCCATCATTAAACTTAAACTATTTGCTTATCTTGTCTCGTTTTTCTTTCCTTTTCAACTATTTCTCTCTTCTGATTCTAAGGGATGTGCAAAATAAAATATTTTGGAATGATTTCAAATGAAAATGAAATATCAAAAAAATTTCTCCAACTAAATGCATCTGCAAGCCTATTCAATTTAAAATTCCTTTTCTTGCAACATCAGTTGTGGATAAAAAAGAAACAGGTAATTAGTGTTACTTATTCTTAGAAATGTGTAAGCTTTCCTATACAATGATGGTCAATAAAGTTGACACTTTTCCTCTCTTCTATTTCCAATTTTACTTATTTTGTTAAAAAATAAACTTATTTTCCATATATTATTTCTTTCGCCATAAACGACCAAACCATTTCATTTTTCAACAAATATACTGTCAAAATTTTTTTCTGCTTATAGTTCTAAATTTAGCTTTAAAAAAAGAAGCACCGACACCAATTAATTTGTTTATAAGCTAAAAATACGCGCAGTTCTGCTCAGAAGTAAGAGATAATCGTTTTTGTCACAGAAACATCAATGCCCACACATGAAATGACTTTCTGAAGACTTCCTTGACAATATCATACATCCTTAACTCGCTGACATCAGTGTTTTGGCCAAAATATTGAGAAATATAGAGCCTGGAGAAAAAAATATGCCTTAGAAAAAAATGTTTCGCTTAAACTAATTCTTCTTCCTTTCTTACTTACCTAAAACTTTTGCTGCAATGTAATTTTAATGCAGTCTATCTTCAACCTATCCTTTGATGTTCAAAAGTTATTGGAAGGTTTGAAATTAGTATTATGCAGTAAAATGGAACAATAGCGCAGAATTTGAAAAAAAAAAACTGTAAAATCATTTACTACATGTGAATAATTTAAGGGATAATGCATATAACTAATAAAAATTTCAAAAATTCGAATAAATTTATTCAGTCAAAACTTTCTCGATCAATATATTAGGTCTAAAAATTTTCACAACCCTTTTTATAAATTATATTAATAATGAAGTAATAATGAAAATTAACAAAATAGAAATTGTAATGAGGGAAAAAAAGATATTGTGGCGTTTATATCTAACAACAATTTTTTATTTCAGCATGTTAAGTTAATTAAGAGCATTTATGCTTCATCAGCTCATTATTATCTCAGTTAATGTATGGGTGCAGAAATTTTATCCCCTATTGTCAGGGAATCTCAACTAAGTGTGATTTGATGACGAATATTGTAATTTGAGATCATTTGCACCTCATTCCGCTTCATTTTCCAAGTCTTATCTTTCAGTGGCTTGACAGATACATTTCGTTGCATTCAGATAGATCAGTGTGACAATTCTAGTATTACTGCTATTATTATCATTACTACTACCATTGTTACTAATATTATTTATATTTTAAAATTAATCCAAAGACAGACAGAAAACTACCAAAAAGCTGATCAAACTGCACTGCAATTTTTTAATTTAAAAAAGGAAAACAACATTGTTGATATTTATAGAGGATTTTTTTCTTTGATAGTGGAAGAAAAAAGAGTTAAAGAACTTTTAGATGCAAAAAAAGATGATAAATTATAATGACAATTCCGCTCTCCTTTGTAAAAGACGCAACTTTTTCTTTTGATTATACTCAAAAAAGTTCACTTAAACAAGTTTGCTGAAAAAAATTTTAAAGATTCAAAAACAGTAAACAAATTTGTCTTCAAATAAACTTTTATTTGCTTCTATAAAGTGTTATTTCGATATCTACCAACAATTCAGGCTTTATTTTTCCGCAGTTGCAACAACAACAGATCATTTCTGATTATTTGCGCCTCAGTTCAACAATTATTGTAATTTTTGGTTTTTGCTGAAATTGTTGTCCATATAAGGATTTATAGATCTTACCAAGAAGCAAATCAGTGGGTATTATAAGAACAAATATACCAATCAATATTTAAAGTGCTGACAACAAACACAGTTGAAGGATTACGGAATAAAATCTCAAAATGCAATGAAAATCCATTAGACGTCTACCGTTAAATTCTGCGATAAATACACCGAATCCAACAAATTTTAGAAGTTTTGTAAATAAAGGTAATATAACACTTCATATTTTCAAGAATAATTATATCTGGACGGAGAAGCAAGTTTGTAACTTAATCCTTTTTGCAAAAAAAAAAGTCATTTTAAAGTTGAAATTTCTTGACATCTGTGAAGAGAATTAAACAGTTACCAAGTGGATTCTAATATTCCTTGCATGTTACAGATATCAACAAAATCACTGATATTGCTGAATTGAATAAATTACAACAGTTGGTAATACTGAAGCTATGGAATATGCCTATAGAAGACGAATTCTGGTAGCACATTAGTTTCTCAATGCTTCCGGTTTAAAATTGAAATTCAAACATCTTCCAATATATGAGCTTCGTCGCATTATTCGGTTCTCAACAATGCTTCCTTTCATCTTTGTGCCTCGTCAAAACCTTTTCTTTCCGCATAAAGCTTTATGGAAATGGAATGAATCAACAATATTTCTTGCTTTCCTATTAGCAATAATACAAAAAAACTTTGGAAGAAGATGCTAAAATTGCATCGAAGTGCTTATTTGCGATTATATATTTACGATTGTTTTGTGATTTTGTAAACAAAAAAAAGACATTTTTATTAGACTTTATTAAAGTGTACAAGGTCATGTGAAAAGCACGAGTAAATTTTTTATCCTTAAGACGTATGAATTCTGGTGGCGTTAGAAATCGATCGGTGATAGCTTTTTGCTTTTGGCTATTGTTTGATTGTAAGTTGAAAAATATGGATTATCAGAACTTTAAACCAGAGTGAAATTAGCGCCCTTCCAAGTCCAAACCAAAAAACTAAATCTTTGAAATATTGATTCCTGGGTTCCGCAAATTACTTCTCCGGTATGTTGCACCAAATCTTCCTATCTTCTGCATAGTAATGTCAAGTTTAATTTCGCATTATCTATAACGAATTTTTGCTAAATTGTTCAACTGAAATCTAAAAAAAGAAATCAAGAAATTGGAGACTGAGTGGTAACATTAAAAAAAAGTTGAAAGTATTGTGTGATTGAAAGAAAACGCATATATTTAAAAAAAAAGCAAATATTTAATTTCCATTCAAGAAGTGTAAGAGCTCAATCATTCTGAAGATAATCAAGACTGATATAAAATTTATAATAGGATGTTCCCCATTAGTTGCCTTTGAAGTTCCATTTTAATTTCCGCATGAAAGGTCCAGTTAAATAGTGTTTTTCACTTCCCTTTAAAAGTTTTGAAAATATTTGATTTCGTCTAAAAATATCATTTTAAAAATTAGATCAGAGATAAGCGAAGCGAAAAGAGAGAACAGAAAAATGTAATGATGGGTCTTGTAATTCTTCCATAGCGTCCTATCATAGATTGTCAAGAAATTGATTAACTAAGCATATTCTATCGATAATTTTCAAATAGGCTAAATCAATAAATTTAAATTCTTCTTTGCTGTGTTCTTTCATAAAAAGATCACAACAGTAACTGTCTACACTTTTAAATGATTACTTCTTTCCATTGTGCAACCAGATAACATCGGAATTATCTTAAGTATAGCTTCAAGGGCGATGACAATTCCCGCAAAAGTAGCTGTTATTGTTCACTTTTCAAAACTTGATATCAGAGATTGCTAGTACTAAAGACTAGTAGGAATGTGTATCTCATCCATAAATGAAATTGGTGGACAGACAAAACAAGTTTCTTTTTGGTAGATTGATAAAATTCATTTTTATCGTTTTTCAAAAAATTTCTGGCAAGTCTCGCTCTCTCCTTTCTTGGTTTTGCATACTTTATCTTTCCTATCTCTCTCCTATCCATTAATTGAAAATTTTTGAAAAAATGAATTTAACATTGCAATTTTCATGCTCACAAAAAATTTCAATAATTTGGAATTTGTAACTCTGGAAACCTTCCGTAAACGATATCTATAGACCCATCATCTTGCAGCAGTGATTACGAGATTTCAAAGTTTCTCAAAATGACAACTCCAAAATCATCTCTGAAATTTATTTTCGGAATATATTGTCGAAGCAGATTGTCAAAAAAAAAGCATTAGTATCACCGCACTTGTCGTAAGAGCTAATTTATATGAAAGCTTCAACAACAATAAAAGTATCGTTTCCAGTAAACAAACGAATTTAAGTCGATTAGAAATTAGTAAGTAGATTATGTAGGCTTGATTACCTTAACTTTAACTCTCAATTTAACAGATTAAGCAGTAAGCATCATCTATAAGTTAATGCTAGATAGTTATACATTCGCTCAAATTACTTAGCGCATAAAGTGATAGTACACAATTTGGAATACCGTAGTTCGATAAACGGAGGTAATAAAAAATGTAGCTAAACTGATACACGCATATATGGTTCGCAGGATAGAGAGAGGGAAAATTTTAAAAAAATGGAATTTCAGTCTGTCAGCTTTTGCAATTGCCAGTTTTTTTTTTTTTTTTTTTTTTTTTTTCACTCATTATTGGTTTTTTTAGGATTTTTAATTTATTCAAATTCATGTTTTTGGAAAAAAGAACAATTGTCAAAAGC